ATTTCTTCCCAAAGGTACGTTTACCATATGCTCAAGAAAATTGTTGCTCGAGCTTCTATCTTTCTTGATCTTAACCTTTTACCATATTTTAATTTGGGTGGTCTACTAGACCACTTTCTCTAGTTCTGTGTCTAAACTATTGTTCTAATGACATTCTAATAAGTTGTGAAGATTTCTGCACACCATAATGATAGGTTAGGAAATTTTGAAACATATCTTCAAGTAGTCAATGTTTTAGGTTGGAATTTAATAAGTAATTTACTTAGGTTCTTTTATTGTGGTTCTACCCACCATTTTGAATGCATGTAAAGGACTGTTATTTTTGCACATTTCTGTTCGTCTGTGAAATATATATCTGGATTGATAATTTATGCATCTGGAATGTAATTTTTATGTTTTATGAACTGTGAATATACCAATATCTAAATCAACTTAATGTGATCATCTTCTGGTGGTCATCCAAAAGTTTCATGCTACTCTTTGGTTGGGACACATAAATCTCGTGTATATATTTAGCATAAACCAGATACATACATGTTTGAGGATATGGAGAATAAAAATTAGCAGTTGTTAAATTAAGTACATATTAACAAGATTTTTGTTTTCTCATTTCCAGAAAATGGGGAAGACATACAAGTGTTGAGATATGAGCGTGGACAGAAATATGATGCACACTACGATTACTTTGTTGACAAGGTGAATATTGCCAGGGGTGGACACCGCATAGCAACTGTACTGATGTATCTTACAGATGTGACCAAAGGTGGTGAAACAGTATTCCCCCAAGCAGAGGTTTGTTTAAGTGTCCTTGTTTCTATTAGAGCTCTTCTTGTGTTGTTTCATATGCTTAGTCACATGTTCTTTAAGCCACTCGTGTTTTCTAGTGGCTCAAATTTTGTAAGCTTCATGATTTCTGTTTATTCTGAGAAGTTTTTTAATCAGTTTTTACATATGACATACATGCCCGTGGATGGGGAATGGGACAAGCTTCTCTTTTAAGTGGGTAATTAGGTTCTGGGTTGGGATGACTGCAGTTATCTTCTCTCTGTAGCAAGTAATGATAATACATAATACATTTTTTTCTAATTCAACTTCATCATCAGGAACCTTCACGTCGTAAGACTCCTGCAAAAGATGATGATCTCTCAGAATGTGCAAAGACAGGAATTGCAGGTTAGCAACATACCATTTGGCACAGTTTTTATGAAAATCTTATACTTTTACTCAACTATGAATTGATGTTTTGATGTTTCGTTAATTTTGCATCTCTCACTTGGAAATAATTAGTGAAACCACGAAGAGGGGATGCCCTTCTCTTCTTCAGTCTCTCCCCAACTGCTATCCCTGACCCAAGCAGTCTGCACGGTGGGTGCCCGGTGATTGAAGGTGAGAAATGGTCAGCAACAAAGTGGATTCATGTCGATTCTTTTGAAAAGAATTTGTCTGCCGGTGGCAACTGCACAGATTTGAATGAGAGCTGTGAGAGATGGGCTGCTCTTGGCGAGTGCTCCAAGAACTCAGAGTATATGATTGGATCTGCAGAGCTTGCTGGTTATTGTAGGAGAAGTTGCAAAGTATGTTAGCTGTACACTACGTGCTTCCATGATAGTATCTGCTGCTGGATTTTCTTCAGTGAGTTATTTATTGATTTTTTTTTGGTGGATTATAAAGATATTTTCCTCTGTTACGGTTTTCACAAACATAGTTGAAATACATGTATTTTAAACTTCGACTGCACTGATGACCCCCTTCTGAGTAATTACTTAATTTCAGCCTCCTTTTCTAACGATCTTAGAGGTGCATTTTCACGTATCAATTTGGTGCATTCTTGATTTTGTACTCCCGAGTGCTTCTCACAGACAACAGCCTGTGGAAACAGCCCCTGATTAACAATTGGAGTAATTGGTGTGCGCGATGAAGCCACTGAATTTGCGGCTACAGGTAGACTTAACAATCTAAAATACGAAATAGTGCTATAATACGGATATAATACAAAAAATAAGATAAAAAGATAATACGATTTAAAATTATAATAATAATTATATATAAATTTAATAAAATAAAAAAATTATATTTTATATTTTTATGTTAATATGAATTGTCACACGTAATTTTTATATAAAATATAATATTTTATATTAATACATGAATAGCAAGGTATAGGAAATGTTCCCGGATTCTTACAGTGGTCAACCTTTTCTGGGTGGGCATACCTGATCAATGATCTCATTTTCGTGCCTGAACATTTTATTTTAAGGAAAAAAAATTAGTGATAAAAAGTTGAACCAGATGCTCAGCCATCACAGAGTTGTTGACTACTTAAACCCTTTAAAATTCAATGGTAGGACAGATTCTGTGTCTTCAATGCAAAAATGATTTGGCTTTAGCTTAAAGTATTGCCCAAGGTGAATTAACATTATAAAGAATGAAGAAACAAAGAGTAATTAGTGGTGCCTTTTTGTGTTGGGTTAAAGTGTGATTTATATCAATTTTTATATGGTTTTTGGTATTTATAAAAAAAAAAGAAATTTATGATTAGGTATTTCAATTTTATTTTTATCAAATATTTTCATTTAAATCTAATTAATAAAATAATGAAATGAATCATACTGCACCCAAAAAAAAAGGCTAAAATCCAAACTCAAGCAAAGTGTCATTTCGAATTACTATAAAAATCTGCTGTCCCATTTTGTAAGAAAAAAAAAAAGAAAAGAACAATTGCAAATTCGATATTTCCATATCCTCCAACGACAACAACAACATCATGAACGTCAGGTTTCTCTGATTTTAAGTCCAAAGTGCAGTTAATGGAATATCCATCAAAGGCACGTTTGAATGCAATCTTCCATGATATGCACGAATAATGGAAAGAGACGAATAATAAAAGGAAATCCCAAATCACCTAAAATATATATATATTTTAAAGCAATAAAATATTAACAAACGATAAGGATTCTCTCTCCACATTTATGGTTGTCCATGGAATTTTCAACCTTCAAAACCCATATCTTCGGTCCAGCTGTCCCTTATTTATTCAAGGACACAAAAAAAAAAAAAAAGGCCAACAACATTTGAACTAAGATTAGCTGTATGTAAGTCTTCTTGGCCCTAACAAGATTCTTTCAATGTTTAAAAATTATTATATTAATTAAAAAATGAAAGGAAAAATATTGAAATTAGTACAGAAACTTGAAGACATGAATGCTTACAAAAAAATATAAATAATTAAAATATTTATTAAGATTATATAAAAATAATAAAATTTAAGAATATAAAGATAATAAAATAATTTTTTTCTCAAATATATTTTTTAATTTTTTTTATTTGGATTAAAAATTAAAATTTTAAATTAAAAAGTCAAATTTTTTATTATTTATTACTTTTGGATAAAACCAACTTTTGAATAATAATGTTGAAAGAGACCTTAATGGACAGGCATAAATCGAAGTGAAATGTGGTCGGTATGGACGATTCTGGTCACATGGCATGTACTAATTTGTCAAAATCAGCTTTTTTAGTTACCATCTTGAATTCAAAGAAATGTGGGATTATTATCATGTTAACTTCAATTAAAACATACACTAAAAATAATTTAAAGTTTACGGTAATTAATTTATATAATTATTTTTAAAAAATGAATTTAATATTTAAATTTTGTTTTCATTTTCAAAATTATGATTTTTTTAATAAAAATCATATCATTGAAAACTATTTTAATTTTATGCGTGGATATCTTCACTTTATTTGTGAGATATTATTAGATTTAATTCAAAAATCTCACAATTTTATTATACAAAAAATATTTTATAAGCATGAATTTATATGAAAACTCACATTCAATTTGAAAAATAATATCTATTTTAACTTAAAAATTTTATAATTTTATCTCATAAAAATTATTTTACAAATTTAAGTTTAAATCTTAATTTATATATCATATCATATCTATATATTTTTTCAATATAAAATTAAAAATATCACAATTTAAAATTTTATTTATATATCATAATAAATTTATAAAATATATCAATTTAAAATTAAAACATCACAAATTCCTTTCATTACAGAAAGCATATAAAATCATAAAATCAAAAGTATAATGTTAAAATTTTAAAAATAACTCTTATTACGCAATACTTAATTTTTTCAAAATTTTAAAAGTAATTTTCACTTAGCATTTATCTTCTATTCACGGATGATCATTTTGACATATTTATAAAAATCTTCACCTAATTTATAAAATATTATTTATTTTAATTCAAAATTTTATAATTTTATCTTAAAAAAATCTTCTTAAATATAAGTTCAAATCTTTACTTACATCATAACAAATCATCCTAAGGATTGGGGAATGATACATGAATGATGTCACCTTCCAAAAAGTTCACGATTCATTTGGAAGATGAATGTTTATTATTATAGAGAATACATGAAAATGAAGCAAGGCAACATGGCAGTCAACCAAGCAATTTCCAGCTTGTGATGACAGGACCTGTTCCCTGATCGACAATCCTCTGCCCCCACCATTTTTATTATTATTTTTTCTCTTCTTTTACTCCTATAATGATGTTGCACTCAAGTTAGCCAAGGAACAATTGATTTTACACACTTATTGTAGCCATTAAGGTGAAATTTATGATTAAAAAAAACTGTGACGAATTTAATTGTGAAATTATTCGAAACTTATTAATCACTTTTGTTATCAATTATTTCTAACGTTTCCCACCATCTTTTATGGTGAAAAATATGCATTAATTTCCATAAAACAGAATTTAAAACTCTTAACAAGCTTCAATGGGGGTTACTCTTCAATAATAATACAATCAAATAGTTCATGCCAACATGAAAAAGCAAAGGGAAAAGAAATTAAAGAGGAAACTCTCCGCTATAAAATATTATTATTATACTAATAAAAAATGAAATGATAGTAGAAAGAAAGAGACAGATAAGGGATAGGAGAAGGAAGTGGGTTCCTTTCAAAATGCTTGTGCGAAAAGGAGAGAGAAAAGGAGGCGAAGGGCAAAAAGAAAACAGAAGCATTTGAAGCAAAAATTCAGAGAAAAAGAAGCATAGACTTTATAGTTATAGGCTTGCAGCAAGCAACGTTAGGACAAGACAAAAAAAAAGGCAAAGTGGAAAATATTTTGGATTTTTGTTCAAGCGCATTATCTTTTTCAAAGGTTTGTAAAAGCATTTATACCCTTTTGTTTTTTTATTGTACTATAATTCCATCCCAACCCCAAAGTTCTAAAATTTAAGCAACAAGCTTTCCGCTTTGTTGGGTCATATATAGTAGCTTTTGTTAGTGGGAAGTTGGTTTTTGTGTGCAAAGGGAGAGGGAAGGGGGGAACAAAACAAAGGCAAAGAGAATGGAGGTGGGTCAGATGCAGAGAAGGTTGATGGACTACACAAAATCCTTGTTTATGGAGGTAAACACAAAAAGAGAAAAGAACTTGAAATGTACAAGTTCGTTAACAAAAATCTCAATTTGGGTTATTTTTTCTTTGTTTTGTTCTTCCTGTTTTGGTATATTTGATTTGTTTGCTTTGTCTTGTTTTTCCTTTTGATTGGTCTTGTTTTGATAGTGTCTGTTTTTTCCTTGGGTGTTGTTTTTGTTGTTGGTGAGAGAAGGGTTTCTTGGATGGTCAGTTTTTACAGCTTCAACAGCTTCAAGATGAGAGCAACCCAGATTTTGTTGTTGAAGTTGTGTCTCTCTTCTTTGATGATTCTGAAAAACTTCTCAATGATCTCACCATGGCTTTGTAAGAACTCAATCTGACTCAGCTTTCTTCTATCTTGCCATAGCTATTTTTTCTTGCAGCTTTTAGTTTCCTTTCTTAAACAGGTCTTTGATTTCTCTTGTTTTCTCCTTACCTTTTGTCATACAGAGATCAGCCAAATGTGGACTTCAAAAAAGTTGATGCACATGTCCATCAATTGAAGGGCAGCAGTTCCAGGTACTTATAAAATCACTTTCTTTAATTTCTTGATAACCTCAGCCTTCATTTCCTGCTATAAATTTCTGATCTGTCTTAAATTTCAGCGTTTTCTGTCCCCTTTCTCCCTTTTTTTTTTTTTGTTTTTCTTGGATAGTAGTTGAACCCCATAATTACACTACAAAAACTGTGCTAATTCAAATGAAAAATGTTAGATCTGACCATTCTAGTGATAGAGAAAATAATTGTTGTTTCATGAGAGTCGATGGTTCTTGTTTGTGTTTAACAGCATTGGAGCGCAGAGAGTTAAAAATGCTTGCATTGCTTTCCGCAACTTCTGCGAGGAGCAGAACACTGAAGCGTGAGTTGCCTTATTCTGTCTAATGGAGGAAGCCTTTTGTTCCCTTCCTTTTCTATTCCTTTCACTAAAAAATTTATGTAAATTTTTCAGGTGCCTGAGATGTCTTCAACAAGTGAAACAAGAGTATTACCTTGCGAAGAACAAGCTTGAATCTTTGTTCAGGGTTAGTACTCCTTTTTTTTGCTTAAAGGATATCTGATTTATTCCTGACTTCAGTTATGAGACTGGTCTTGATATGCTTTCCTTTTTTCACTTTTTTTTTTCACTTTTTTGAGACATTATTTACTAACTGCAGCTAGAGCAACAAATTGTGGCAGCTGGTGGGTCAGTTCCAATTATGGAAATGGGTTTTTGAAGACCTTGAACATGAAGGATAAAGCAAGATTTTGGGTTGGTTTATACAGTGGCACATATGGTTTTTGTGATCCACTTCAATTCTGCCAGTTACTATAGGGTTCAGTTTTTTCTTGCCAATGAACTTGTTTGTTGTATGACTTTCATGAAAGAAGAGATTTCTTCTAGTTTCAATCCTAACCTCAAAGGAACCTTTCTGTTGATAATTTCTTCTTCATTAGCACTTTTTCTGCCATTCATGTGACTCTTGTCCAGTTTGTGAAGCACTACAATTGATAGATTTCTAATGCCACTCATTTGCATGGGTGGTCTTACAATATTTTATGCAATTAGTACAGGAAAATTGATAGAAAATCATGCATCAAGCCTTCAATGAATGAAAGACTGTTCGAGAACACTACTTCCTAATGGCTCAAAGAGAACAGAAGCTAAGATTAGATCCATCATTTGGTAATAGCACGCACACATACACACATGCACGCATGAATTCGCGCACGTGACTCATGTCGGGGTGATTATATGACTGTTAATACATCCAAGTACTGAATTTACTCCTTAATCTGATGTTATGCTAGATAGCAGGGGAGCTAATCTTCCTTCTTTGGGAGCCCTTCCTAATGAAGTCCCACCATTGGAAATAAAATTTTATCCTCTGTGTTCTCTTCTTTAATCTTTAGATTACGATGATTTATTGTTACATCCCACACTTAATTGCAAAAATTGTTGTCTGTTATTACTGTTATTAGTCTAGGATCCATCAACATTCTTGGTTGGCAGCCATGCTTTCAAAGATACAATGAGATTTGTTGTTTAATCTGGTTACAGAAATGACAGACAAATTTGATTTTTTTCTCCTACTACTGTTCTCTCTGTTTCCCCATTGTAGGAATATAGGAATATAAATCCATTTATGAAGATATGATTCTCACAGTGTCAATTACAATCTGTTGGGCCTGTCTCTTTGTCTGCTGCCAAACTAATGGACAAGAACTTGGAAATCAGTGGAGTCTTCTTCCCTTATTTCCAATATTTTGTTAAAAAAATGAAAAAATAAAAGAAAAAAAAAACTTTTCAGTGAAATGGGCAATCACATAGTCAAACATTCGGTCTTTTTTATACTTAAATATTAATAATTCAATCATCAATGAGAAGCAAGGTTGAGAAAGTTGTGGGGCATTATGTGGGTAAAATTTTGAATACATTAAATGCATACGGAAAAGGATTATATTTTAGGCCAAACCAAAGATGAGAAAAAGAAAAAGAATGTTTGTTGATATGCCAACCAACAAAATAATGTTAAACCAAGAAATGGGAAAGTAACAGGCAAAGCATATTAACCTTTGGAAAGAATCATCAACCATCAACTCAATTAATCTGGTCCCACAATGAAGCATCTTTGAAGGTAAAACTTTTGTTGGTGCATTAATTACTATATTTATTGGTCAATGTTTTAAAGATTGCACAATGAATGATGCTATAATCCAACGATATTTGAAGTGATTTAAGACTTGGAATAACTCAGCCGGGATAGGAACAGTGAGGAAGAAAAGCAGACTCCAGCGCCACTAAACCATCGGCTTATTTGTTGTTCATGCTTTCATTATATTCCAACGAAGAATATATTTGATGTTGAGATGGTTTGATCGGTGGTACGAGGCTTCCTGGTTTCTAATGGCATCTTCATCGATCTGAATATGAAACATAATGGTTTCTTCTGTTTGAAGCATTGTCTTTTAGGAGATTCTACTATGAAGAATATGAGCAATACAAACAAAGGTGCTAAACTATCATGAAACTAAGATTGAATTTCTGTTTATTGGGAATGGAAAACTGATATAAAATGAGAATTCCTAAGTTCGATTAGGTGGTGTATTCCACATTATTCTCTGTTCATCATAGCTTCCTAGTACAGCAGACTGCTTTTTGTCACCCAATCTACTGGCAAATAGATCGTAATAGGCCATAGGATCAACATTTTTCAATATTTTGACTAATTTGCCTTCCTTTTTATCGATCAAAATCTGTCCATCCCTGGATTCAACACCTTTAGCAATGACTTTGATGGGCATTTCTTGCATTGTTGGTTTCAGACTGGGGTGATCTCCAGCCAAGAATATTGCACCAAGGATTTCACCCAAGAATGTACCCTGCAAAGATAGAGATTCAGTTGTTACTTGTAGCAGAAGAAAGCAAGAAAGGAAGCAAGGATAAACTGGAGGGTCCTCCAATGGAGAAAGTTCATTTAAGTCAACATCAGGCAGATCAGGATTGAGCTCTTTAACATGTGACAGTTTGTTCATAGACTAGAAAACTTTACCATATGGCGATATCTGTGATGAGTTTGCTGCAAAGTGTATAGCCTGAATAACAGACGCTTGACAAACTGAGCTTCAGGAGTCCTCCTTGTCAGCTGCAGCCTCTTTAGAGTCTCCTCAAACAGACTGACTTTGCGCTGAGTGTCCAGTGGAACGAGTGTGATATTTAGTCCTGATTCGAAAACCGTCTTTGCAGCAAACGGGTCAAGAAACATATTGAATTCAGCATACTTGTTGGTAGGAATAGTGAAGACATTTCCTTTATCAAGGCTACTTCGGCTGATATGTCCTCCAACAATATACACATTCTGCAATTAGATTGAAAATCACCAGTTGATTTCATTCCAGAGAATAAAAGACTTCTTTAAAATTCTGAAAGTATTCCACCGAGAATATTGGTCAATACCGCCTATAACTATTAACAGAAGAGTTGATTCCTGGAAAACTTTGATTAACTTTCAGTTTATGTTACTCATAAATTTTGACTATCTATTTTAGAGATGTCTCCTTGCAGTCTTTCACATAGCAAAACAGAAGGAAGAGATAAAATCCAAGTACCTGAATCAGTGAAGCTGTTTTTGTCTCGGTTATAATCTTGGCTAAACTAGTCAAAGGTCCATTGGTCAATATGGTAACTTTAGATCCAGGATCCAGAGTTTTCAATATTGAAGTCCAGATTTCAAGTGCCAGAGGTTGTCTTAGTTCAGGGTGATCAGTATCCCGAGCAGCTCCAAATTTTACGGAGTTTTCTGCTGTATACCTGCAGTGAAAGGCAAAATATTGCAGTTCTAAGTACTTCAGACAGGAAATAGAGTGAGAGAGAACAAGAAGGATAGAGGAGAATACCTTCTAGGACTTCGTGGTAAGTCCCGAGCTAGCCCATAAAGAGTATCCGAATCCAGAAATCCCCCACTTCCATGTGGGATAGCCTTAGCATACTTGCAGTCTCCAACAGCACGGAAAACTTTGTCAGATTGGTTCATTGCAAATACATCTCCTAGACCAACTGGAATGTCATCACGGCCCATCATGTGCAGTAAATCATAGATGATATCTATTGTAGCAGCATTAGCCCATCCTGTTGGACTTACTAATATTGCCTGGATAAGGAGAAAGATAATGGAAATCAAACCTGCTGCTTTATTATATAATTGGCAAACCAAGTTCTTTCCATTTTCATGTAGGTGAAACCTATTTCAGTATGTACTAATTGCTTAATACAAGCATTTCATTAGAGAAGTTCTGACAAACGTGAGGTGCTGGCATATTAGGCCATTTACAGCCATTTTTTGAGAGCTCATACATGCATTTTTGGCGTCATTTACATGGTAAACCAGGCCTACGTTGCATATGATTCATAGCCAGTGAAACTGATCAAACTGAAACTACTTACCTTGAGGTTGACCACTTCCACAGGCACTTTGAGGAGATAAACTAGAGCCAGAAAATCTCCAGCACTCATATCCATATCAAAAACAACAGGTTTTCCCAATTTTTTGTTTTTAAAATCTGGTTTGTAAAGAACTTCTCTGTAATAAGGAAATTCCGTAGAAAGATTGAACCTCCCGGTTTGTTCAGGTCTATTTAGGACCTGCATTCCAGCCATGTGTCTGAAATTCATTAGTACACAGATCATTGCAAAAGAGAATATGAGATTAGTAAATGTCAGATATATCGGAGTCCTTTCAATGAAAAATGTTAAGAACTTACATCCAAAAAACTTATGAAAAATTCTCGGTCAAGTTTGCTGCCAACATCCTGATTAGTTTTTGCTTTTGTAGCTACAAGAACCCGAACTGCATCTGGACCGGTTACCTCCTCTGTGTAACCATCCTATTTGATTATAATGCAATGAATCCCTCAGATAGTCAGTAAATATTAGATATTTGCAATGGTAAGTATGTAACCAAAGGGTCACTTATCACCTAAAAACTATCCAACAGAAAAGAGTTTGGATTCCATGGGGGTGGAGTAGACTTAAAAATGAAAGATTTTTGTTTCAATTACAAGAAGTTTTCCATTATGGTACAACTGACAGAAAGAATTTACCTTACATTTCCCTTTTCCATTCTCTACAAAACAAAATGGATCTCGAAGTTCTGTCTGGACATGACCACTATGAACTCCACCTTTCTTCAATTTAAACTTTGGAACTTTAAGGCCATCAAATAATGGATTTGAACCATCAGATATTCCGTAAGGCTTGTTTGAAGTAACTACAGTTAAATTCATATATTCCATTTCGGCAAATTCATTCTCCCCATTGTTCTTGTGTGAATTACGCATGATTGATACTGCCACACCGGAAGTGAACGAGTCCCACATGAAGTAGCTCTGCAGAAGCCAGAAGATAGCAACAATAAAGGCATTAACACTACAAAACATGGTATTACATATGCATTATAAAGTTAGTAACTAGTGGAAACACGATATCAGTGTCCTTTAGAAACTTCTGTCATAGACATGGATTAAAAGATTGCTGCATAAGCATTTTTCAGAAGGGGTACCGTATAGAATTGGTCATCAAACCAAGTATCACGAGACATTTTCAAGGAGCGGAAGCAATATTCTGCCTCATAAGTCGCCAGGCTCTCCTCAAATGCCTTGAAAAACTCCTCAGTTATCGGGATGGTGTTTGTCGCATCCAATGGAACAAGGGTGACTGGGATACCAGAATGAAACACCTACAATATTAGCATACATTTGTTACTCTTAAGACTCTATATATATGCAATCAGTCAACAAGGATTTTACTAACAGATCAATTTCTTCAGTTACCTGATATGCTGCAAAAGGATCTCCAAAGATATTAAACTCAGCATAAGGATTAGTATTGTAGTCTGTGAACAGATTACCAGGGTCACCACACTGGCGAGGCTGGCAAGATGTGGTAGCATTTTTGGGGCAGCAACCTGTTGGATTTTTGGATCTCACTCCACCACCCATGACATATATGTGCTCAACATTTTTCTTGAGATGTGGATTATTCATGAGAAAAATGGCAAAATTTGTGTGAGCTCCAATCACGAATACTGTAATAGGACCTGCAGATATTTTTTCAATCATCACTTGCTGAGCAGTAGGCTGTCGAAGAGGAGAATATTTCCTGCTGCCCTGATTCCATGGAGAAACCATAAGCTCTAAATCTAAATGATCATATGGCCAAAAATGGAAGCTTTGAATCACATATAAATGAACTGAAATTCACCCATTCAGCTTGGGGCTTTCTTCACCTTAGTTACAATTTTCATACCTGTGGAAGGAATTCTTTTCGAAGGCCATAGTTGGTGTCTATATCTAGTCGTCCTCCAAGGCCTACTGGAATTGCTTGCCTGTATCTACAATATCCAGCTGTTGTCATCCCCTGGTAGGTAAATTACAGATAACACGCACACTATAAGCAGAAACAACAAACAACATTTTCTCTGGAAAAAACAAAGAGATCATCAGAAATATAACTCTAATAGTTGGATTGAGAAGAGATTGACCTGTTCAATTATTGGAAGATATCCACCAACATTTGGTAATATGGTACCATCTTCCAGGATTCCACCCTCTCCTCCTACTCCAACAGCTATGTCGTCGCGGCCCATCATGTAAAGTATGTCATAAATTTGATTCACAGCATGCCCAGCATCAGTCCATGCATTTGTGTTGATAGTGACTGCCTGCATCAGAAATATAATTACCAGAATCACCGTCATATAAAGATTTTTTCTCGAAGGACTTAAAGAATCATGTCTGAATCAACTCAAGATAAAGGAAAGAAAAAAATGGTATATTTCTTTGGAATTTTTGCATGCTTTGTCACCATTGGTATTGAACAAAAGCTTAAGGCATGAGATTTTTACATCAAAAAAGCATTGGTAAGGAAAAGTAAATGCAGAAAAACAGTTCACCTCCAATTCAAATTCTGATCTCTTAAGCTTCAAGAGATACAAGAGAGCAAAGAAATCATCGGTATCCACATCTGTATCCAAAAGAATCCGATGTGGTTTGGCCTCAACACTGTAAACATTTGCTCCAAAAACATCTATGATCAAAACTATAAAAATCCAAGACTTTATCTGCCACAACATTCTGTCTCCTCCAATCATAGCCAGCCTCCCCTATATGACAATGATCAAACAAATGCTTTGATCCAACTGAAAAAACTGTTATATCAACCTCATTCCTGACTAAAAACAACAAAGAAAGATCAGTTAGAGTTTAACCATACAAACATGTTATCCTTAACAGCTTCAATGATGATGAAAAACTAAAAAAAAAGAAAAAGGTGTAATGCAATACAGTTTGAGATAAAAGTAGCAACAGACAGGAACTTCAATGATAATATTTTGAAATAAAACACGTGAGGAAGCAGTAAAAAACGCCGGATTACCATCAGAAACGGTGGAATAGGACAGGGAAGAGACAAATGAGATGAAGTTATGCCTTCTCTAACAGTAGTGGACCAGATTCTTACAACTTTTATGGAACAGGAAAAAGAAATAAAAAAAGATTTATACATCAAAGAGATTATCGAAAAAGAGTTGTAATTCAGAATTTTATAATGTTCAAGTTGATCATGTTACCTATGGTTACTGCCATTGACTACTAATAGTAATAACTTACCAAAATAAATGTGAAATCAGTGGGAGGTAAGAAGAAAAAAAAACCAAAGACTTCTAGCCGCTTACTATTAGAGGAATCTAATCACGGTATAATTGAATCGTATAGGCATAATGTCTATTTCGAAATCAACAGTGAAAATTATCGATTATATAAATATTAAAATCATTCAAATTTCAGTACTTATATATATTTTTTTAATTTTTAAGTTGTTGCTTATTTTGTAAAAAAAAAAACTCATTTAGAAAATTAATCATTGAATGATATCTGTTGACTGACCAAAATTAAAATCATTAAATGAATAGTTACTGCAACCCAAAAGGAAAGGTATTGTGTTGGGGAAAAAAAAAACAAAAGTCTACGGTGTAAACAGGTATTAATTCTTCTAATCCAGCTTGAAACAACTTGAATCCCAACTCCCACATGGTTTTCCATAATAAAATCTTTAATGAATACAAAATTGTATGAAAAAAAAAACTAAAATTAAAGAAGGATAAATGTGAACGAATATGTAATTTAATTAGTTCATACAATTATTTTTAAATGTAATATTCAATAAATCTATGATTTAAATCTTAGCATTTACAATTTTTTTTTTTATTTTCAAGTTATAATTTTTTTATACAAAAAAAAAATGGAATAACATGTTTAGGATTAGATTAATGGATACCTACAAACACTTAATTAATCAATGTGTTGAACAATGATTTTATTATTCTATTATTTGTTGGGACTCCCTAATTGAACAAGCAAACTCTAACTTCTTGGGGTGTTCTTTTCATTTCGTCAATTAATCCAACTATAACATTGTCTTATTCTTAGTTATTTGCGTTTAGTTTTTTACATTTGTAAGTTTCTTCTGCCATTTTTTTCTTAAATGTTGAATTTGGACATGTTTGGCCAGTGGTAAGGAACTTTGACCATTCAACATTTTTGAGACAGGTGTGAGATTTCTTGCCTTACTCAAGGTAAGAAGTATCATAAAACAAATCAATGCCTTGGAGTGGAACCCACATCAAGATATTGCTGACATGAAAAAACCAGACCAACAATTCACACAAAAGCTACAACTGTTTGGATTAATTTCTAGTTAAAATCAGGGCTTTGGGATCAGATTGATGGAATATATATAATAAAAATTCGAGATTAAATAAGTTATTCGATCTTTAAATTAAATAAAATTAATCATATTCAATAATTTAAAATTATACATTTAAAATTATTTTAACAAATGATCATTAAAACTTAAAATTTTTATGTTGAGGAGGATGATATTTGCTAATTGAATCAAGTATTTATTAATGATTGATGGAATATTAATTCACTTGATTGTGTCGTCCAATTAGCTATCATAAAATCAAACCTTTTTGAGACATAGATAACATTATTGAACTTATCACTTCTTAGCAAAAAAAAAAAAAAATTTTATCATTTCTCTTTTTATATTTTTTAATTCATTGTCCAGGATTACACATCTATTTATACTACTCCAAAATTTTATAAAAACCCATGATCTTAAAATACATGTCTAAAAAAATTTAAATGCGAAGAATTTAAAATTTGATTAAATTTATAAAGTGTAACCTTTGAATTTTTTTATATATATAAAAAATTAATTAAATAATATAATTAAATAAATTAAACTCATTTATAATAAAATTCAAATTTAAATTTACATGATTGCAAAGCTCGAGTATTAAAATTTAGTATTACATATGAAAAGATTAAATTTATGAGTTCAAACCTTGAAATTTGAGCTTAAATTAGTGAAGGAATTCAAACAGAGGCTAGCTTTATGTCAGTGTGATTTGGAGAGAAACTATTGGCCAAGGGCATGTCGACAAGGAGGAAAGACGACTGACAAGAAAAAAGGAAAAGCCGATTTGGGTTAAAAATCCCAATCCAAGGAATGTGACACATTGACCTTGAACAGTTCGTAGAGTTTCATGAAATTGGAAAATTCTATTGGTTCATCTATTACATTTACTTCAATCTGATTTGCCAGCTCAAAATCTTTTTTTTTTCAAACAAAATCTTAATTTAAAAAAAAAAAAAAGAAAGATTTGAGTCGGTTTTTCCTAGCTTTGTGCATTCCTACGTATGTTTGTCTTTGTGGGATTCACACGTGGATGGACCCTTTTTCATTTGTCTAATCTAATAATCAATTTTTAAAAAATAATTGTAATTAATTATAAATAAATCAATTAGTTTAGTGATAATACAACAGCACAAATGGATTTTATGAAAGGAAAATTAGAAATTTAAGTGATTGGTGCTTTATTGGAAGGGAGAATCTTCAAAGTACAGCAGAAAAAGATTAGGATAAAAATGTTTAAAAATGAAATGGGAATTTAATTAATTAATTAGTTGGCCAATTGCAATTTGAATTTAACAATTTTTTTATCATTAAAGGATTGAATCATTTGTAGTAATTAAAATTAATTAGAAATTTGGGAGCAAAATGTATCATTTTTCTTTATAATTAAACTTCGACTTTATATCACTGAATACATATCATTCATTGAATAATAATTTTCTAAATAGTTGTGTTATCTAAATGGATTATACTTCTACAATAAAGTTTGAGATCATGGTTTAAGAATTATATATATAAGTATCTTGTTTCTAAAGCGTATAAAATTTTTTTAATTATAATTAAAAAAATATTTAAATTTAATTTTTTATTATAATTAATCATTTATTCTTACATTTATTTGTATTCAATTAAACCATTATTTTGATCAAAAAATTAACGTCATTAATTTTTTTATCAATTAAGATAAAATTTTACATAATATTAATAAAATATATTAAAGCTTATCACATGACTCAATTAATATATGTGAAAATTAAATAAAATAATTTTTTTCTGTTTCTTTTTTATTTTCTCTCCTCTCTCTCTCTAAGATCCCTTTAAATTTCAATTGACATTAGTTCATGATTGATTGATTAAAATTTTCTTTCATTTAAGGGTTTAATTGAGTCAAAATAAAAGATTAAAAATTTGATTGATTATAATAAAATATTAAAAATTTAAATGATTATTGAATTATAATTTAAAAATATTTTTACCCTTTAGCCTAATTTTCTTATTATATTGAGAGTTGAAGAACTGAAACAATTTTTTTTTGAGTCAGACAATGATGTATTAGGTATTATGAATCAAATGTTCGAATACGAATATTTATTTCAACTTTTTAAGTTGAATTGTTTTTTAAAAATTGATTAAAAAAAACCTATTTATATGTAATTTAATTTTATTCAAAATTAGCATGATTAAATTTTACCTAGTGATCATTTCCTTTAATTCACATTCAAATGTGGGATATGTAGTTGGGTTAAAAAAATAAAAACAAAAGTGAATGTCAATTACATTTTCCAAATCCTACAAATTGTAGTAATTATATTATTCTAATTTGATTAGCTTTGCAAAGGGTATCCCACTAAGGGAAAGATCTTGTTTCCCAACCATTGAATAAGAATTGGCTTTATGGGTTGAGACATAGTCCCACATAAATTCTTTTTCAACAATGGTGCATGCTTATAAATATATTTTTTTTATAAAGTAGAACTTCAAAGTTAAAAGGGATTTATTAGAAGATTTTAGAGATAATAATTGTTTTAAAGCTTTTTGTGCATAAAAGGAGCTTTCCTTTTACCACCAATCCCTATTTGTTTATTTTGGTCAAAACTCACTTTTTTATCCTTAATTATGATGTGTTTGGAGACGTAATAGAGTTTATGGGGACCAAAGTCCATGATTATAATTTTAAAATGCTTGCTACCAAACACTAGGAAAGCAATCCTACTTAACAAAGCTATATCTATATCTTTGTAAAAATTATCCGGTTCTTAAACCCGACATGAATAGTTAAAAGATTAATATATGTTTTGTCAGATTATATATATGAAATTTAAAATTAATTAATTAATTAAACATATAATAATTACGTCAATAATCATGTATAAGTTAATAGAATATTAAATTATTAATTTTGATAATCAAAATTCAACGTTTGGTAATTTTGATTATAAAAAAAACATATAATTATTTAATATCACTAATGAAATTTAAAAATGTTATATAGAATAATCATCTATATCTTAAAATAAGATTGGTTTTGCTATCATTTACCAAAAGGATCGTGTGAGTTTCTTCTAGAATAACGTCACGAATTATTATATTTTTACTATATGTAAAGTTTAGGAGTCAATTAGTGACAAAATCATTTCCATTACTCTAATCAAAATTAACAATGAATGGTAATCTTTATCTTTATTAACCAATATGAAGTCCTTGGACCACTGAAATACAAAGAGTTGAGAAGATGGAATCATTCTCACACTGTATGATCAATCTAGTTCATCTGATCATTTAGACACAAATTTACCCACAAATTGGTTTGTATGATCAATATCTTAATGTCCATGTACATATTTATGACTTTGAAATTAAGTAAATAGAGTTTCTTATCTATAATATATAAAGATTAATTAAAAAAAAACGATTCTCATGAAAGTCTTCATCCAGCTGTGTTATTAGGGTTTGAGTTTCGAAACAAATTTTGTCACGCAAAAAGAAAAAAATTTCTGAAGTCATTGTTATGGTAATTTTTCATACCTAATGGAAGAAAATATATCACCAAAAAAACAAAGCAAGCTACCAAATACATAGCATATAGTAATTTAAATCCAAAGGAAACTGCCTTTTAAAGGGGTAGCCTATCTAGGGATCGGTATTAATTGACTAATTAAAATAAGAAGCCCTTTAAACAAAGCAAGCTACCAAATACATAGGAAGGCAACTGCCCTTTAAAGGGGTAGCCTAGCTAGGGATTGGTATCAATTGACTACTTAAAATAAGAAGCATAAGAGAATGGATATGATGAGAAATCACTAAATCTTGTATTTAGTGGCATTAACTTAATTACATTCTCCCCACTAAGGAAAGCATAGAATCAACCAAAAAAAAAAAAGTGTAGCTTTGCAAAGAAAAGGTAAGGATAAGATCACCTAAACCAAATTGCCATTTTTTTTCTTCTAGGTAAGACTTTTCAATTTCAATAGGAACTCAAAGATTAGACTAATTAATTATTTTCAACATTGGTTTTTATAGTAATTATTCTCTCTATTATTTTTATTTTGATGCAAAGGAAGCCGTAGCATGAAGATAAGAAAAGTAATTGTAAATATTAAAATTTAAACCTTAAATTTATTTAATGTCATTTTTAAAAAGTAATTGTACAAGCTAGCTAAGTTAATTAAACCATAAATTCTTTGTTAATTTTGACAGGTTTGGCAAGTCTATAGCAAAGGAAGTACAAAATATTTATACTTGTAATTGATATAATCCCTTTCAATCTGTCTAATTCTAATGTGCAAAATATCTCTAATTTCAACAATTGATTGACATGAAAAGTTAAAAATACAAGTGACATTAAAAATAACTGATAAAATTATTAATTTAATGAATTCGTTTTTGATACACCTAACAGTTTTTAAGATTATAAACAGAGTGTGAACCAAGGACTTGAAAAGTAGTTACAATTAGCTGTGCATTTTTGTAGTGAGCATTTGGGATTCTTGTAAGGAAGATTCTCCAAGCAAAACAAATCCCAATGGCAATTAATTCTTTAGATAAATTTCAACTCAATGATCCATTTGAAAGTTCAGAGTTGGATGACTTGATAAACAAAAATTCAATGCACGATCAAGAAAGCGTGTGCAGTTAGAAGATGGGATTAAGTTGACTACAATCGATATATTTAGAAAAGTATAATAAACCGTCCGATTGAGACGTCAAACCACCATCAAGGATCTTACGCAATCTACAAGGTCAAATGCAAGAAATCATGCATTTATTTGTTTATTTACTAAGTTATATATTTCGATCTTATTCAAAACAAATAAAAATTTACATTCGAATATTTAATTCAACATTGATGCATGATTTGCTGTTAAGCAAGTTCGAATCTTTAGTTTCAATAAAAAAAATTGATCTTAGGACGTCCTTTTTACCATGGAGTTGTGAGCTTTTTTCTTTGTAAGGTTCCAATCATAGAGATTGGGTTGAGTCAAATGTCATCTCATGTCGGATTTGTGAAGGATCTTCCATTTTTTTTTCAGCTTGGAGACAAAAAGTAAAGGTTTTTGTTCAAGGAAGTGGGCTATCAACAGCCGCTAGGACGGGTCCGGAACGAAGGAGGGATGTTGGAAAAGGGTGTTCGAAATTCCTGAGTTACAATAATTCTGCATGTGACTTTGACAAATAGAATATACAGTTGATGTGAAATCAAACATAGCGGCTTCAGCCAATCTTTCCTCTATTCCATTTTACTTCTTGATATCAGATCAGAAAAACGTGGTCAATGTTTAATTTTATGATTTTTTTCATTTGATTTCAAGCTCAAGCAAGTCCCACATGTTGGTTCAACAGGGTTATAGCTACATTTTTTTTACTTGGTTCAATGAATAGATTGAACAAGGAAAATTGTCAAATGGGAGGCCAATAAAGATTGATAAATGTGTGCAGTCAAATATGCAGCCCTGGCTTCAGACTAGGCAATGGCAGGAGGGTGATTCATTGATTCCTACAAGTTGTTAAGAGGCTAATCCTAGCTTGGGTGGACAACTGGTCAGCCTAACCTAATAGATCATACGAAGCCCACATTAGAAACTTGGGTTTAGCTTGATCTCAGGAACGTAGATGGAGCCTTAATTTATATGGGCTAAGCAGAAGCTGAGGGCCTAGCTCTAATATCAGTCATTATGAGGCTGCTTTGGAGTAAGATATAAATTATAATTCAATGCTGGCTTGATACTCCTATTCACTTTAAATGAAACTTGAATTCAATTTAATTATTATCAAATCGAGTTTAATCAATTTAACTTATTAAATGAATCAAATTCGAGTATTTTAATATCCAATTTGATTAATTCATGAGCCTAATCGAACTTTTAAAATTTAATATATTTATATTATTTTAATTAAAAAATTATTATTTTATTTTTATATATCAATTCAAACTTGAATTCAAATTCAAACACATAATTGAATTTAACATTGAGTATGAAAATCGAACTTAATTTTATTAAATAAGCTTAATCACATGAGTTCAAATAATTCAATTTTTATTTCAAATAAAGTTCGAACTTAAAAATTAAAATTCAATCAAATTCGAACTGAATTTTAAACAGTAAATTTCAAGTCGAGCTTGAGCTACTCGCCGTATCAACTCAACTTGTCACGATTACGCCCCTACTTTGGAGTGCCTATATTTATGTTTTATATGGACTGAAAGAAACAGCAGAATTTACAGCGGCGAGACACAGCCAGGAGGAACTCTCCCAAAGAAAGATGGCTTAGGACAAGTTGCAAATGATCCTGTCAATAGAACACTATGTTTGCAATGGGGGGGCTAGATGAGGTATTGTTTCCCTAAGTGTACAAAATCTGTTGCATCCAAGATGCAACTGATATCCAACAATGCAAAGTAAGGTTCAAACTATCTCAAAACACGAAACAACATCCTTGTAACTAACTTCTGCCGAGTATAAGATCGTTCACTGGAATCAAGCTCAAAAAAATATTGTATTGAACAAGAGTGAAACACAGATGGTTGTCAATGGCAGTATCAAATAGACTAGTCCTCAAAATTTGAAGTGTTTTGATCAAAAGTTCATCTGATGCTGAGAGACTCAATTACCCAAATGTAAGATATCGAATTTCTCAAGAACATTTAAGTCTTAAATGAAGAGATAATTTCATCAATATGTGAATCTGATTGATATGGGAAACATTTCCATTGCATAGAGTAATGAACAAAGATTGATTCAATTACAATAAGCCATAATAGAAACACCTGATAAATGCAAAACCTTAGAACAATCCTATCTCATTATAAAATTCTGATTACAGCATCACTGAAATCTGAAATCCATTATAATTGTTCCATATTTGAAACATATGCATCAAAACAGTACAACTCTACTAATTCAACATCAGAACTCTTGCACTTCCTCTAAACACAAAATAAAGAGAGGGAAAAAAAAGAACCATTCAATCTATAACAGGAACAAAAACATCCTAGTAACTTGAACTAAACCAAACTAAAATTATTAATCACCAAAGAAGTACCTCAGATCTACACCATTAACAAACATAACAATTTATCAATAACTGTGGAAAAAGAAAGAATCAAACAAAAATCCCATCACAAAACCTTGAAAAGCAATCTCCTTGAAGCCTGTTTGCTGCGATCGTCACGGACTCCAGAGTCGGATTCATCATGAAACCACCCCACAGATTTCTGGGCCTCATGCATAATCTGTGAAATACCTGAAAAGCAAAGAAACCCAACAAAGAAACAATGTCAGATACCAAATGCATGGATTAAATCACCAAAAGAAGGCTCTTTTAAAAGTGGGTTTTTTACACAACATCAGAAATTAAAGCAGCAATTGAAATAAAAATAAGAGAAAAAGAAGGCTATTTTAAAACTGGGTTTTTATTTTTTTTGGCATAACATCAGAAACCAATGCAAGTATTAGAAAAAAGAAGAGGATTTTAAATGTGGATTTTTTTGCCTTGTTGGACAGTTTGTTTGTTGTGGCGGATGTCGTGGATGGTGGCGGAGATTTTCCAGTAAAGAGGACGGCCAACGTAGAAGAGAACCAGGAGGAGGAGGACGGCTATTACTATGCGGAATGTGAGCCTAGATGTTGATGAGGCCATTGATTTGATCAATTGTTTAATATCTTGAGTTGGCGGATAAGTGGAAGATTTCCTCTTGAAGGAGGAAGCAGTAAACGAAAGAAGAAAGAAAAAAAAATCAGTGGGAGACAATCCGCCGATGCAGGAGATGATGCCACGTCAGTTTGGAATATCCCCAGATCCAATGGATCATTTTAATTTGATTAAAAATAAAATTAATGTAATTCTGTTCCGTTGACCATGCATTCTCAAAAATTCATTTATTATTAAAAGTTCAATAATTATTAAAATTATTTTAATAAAAATTTTATTATGTGAACAAGATAATTTCTTTTAATGATTATGATTGTTTTTTTTTCTTTTTTTGGATATTTTAAGCTCAAAATTGTCATGAATCTTTGTGGTTTATATGCCGCACTTGTATATATTTCTAATAATGTGGGATATCCATTCGTATATTAATCTTCAATATTTCGCAACCCCAAGAAATAATATCAGCAAGAAAGACATGAATATAGAGGAAGCAAGAAGCTGAAACTAGAGACATTTGTGTGGTCAAACAAGAAGGTTTTACACAAATTTACCATGTCCTGAATTAAACAAGAGAAATCTTTACGAATTTTACCTATACAAACTGAGTTACCCAGAAGGCAGGAAAGAGCGTTAAATATAACCTGTATTTGGTAGAAACAATTGCAATCAATCTTCAAAAGCATGGTCTTCCCTGATTGGCTCCCATCGTGAGGGTTCTTCGTTGCTCCCAGGAAATTCCCATCTAGCAATGACACCATCCCAGGAGGAGGTGATGATCATTGGATAGAATGGATGCCAACTACAATCTCTCACTGGAGCTTTATGATGGTGACGACGCGCTACCAGAGCTCTGGTCACCTACAAAGAATAGCCTATTTACAACTTGCTTAAAATAGCAGCAATCGACATAGTGTCCAGCTGAGCTGAGGTAGAAGGTTCCATGGCAAGGGACAACTTTGAAATGTTTGGAACACCATGATATAAGCAAGCGATCCAATCCCACAGGAAAATTTTACGGAGTATGAACAGGAAGAAGATAGAAAGTATAAACTATAGTATATGTTCGATATACAGCTTATCATTTCATCTGTACCCTCGTCCGACTGATCAACTTTTTAAGGGGGGAGAAGAAAAAAAGGATTATCTTACATAAATTAGTTAAAAAAAGAAATGGTGAAATTGGATACTTACCAGATCATATATATAAAGAGAACCATCACTAGAGCCAGTGTAAATGTACTTCTGGCCAGTGCTGCAAAATGTGAATTTCAAAGTTAGAAAATATGTAAAAGCCTTCTAATTGAATGCACGATCTCAAGGTCCTGAACAAGACAAGTTAATGAGCAGACTACCTAGTTGAATAGGTCTTGTTAATAAAAGCTAGGAGAATTAGCAAAACTTGAAAAGAGAGAAGGGGGTCAGAATGACTACCCATTACCCGATATGGCTAGCAAAGGCCAGAAAATCTGTGTTTGCAGCAGTTTGGAACTTGCATAAGCAGCCGGTTAATCCAGCTCACTTTAAGGCCTCTACTAGGCCAACATAATACCAACGACAAGCCTAGGTTTCAAAAGTGAGGCAAACTTAATTTGTATGGCACATGCATCAAGCTGACTTAAAGTGAAACATTGAACTGCAATCTAGAGGTTAAAGTGAGATTATAGCTAACTCCAGTGCCCCAGTCATAATGAAAGAAAAAAGATCAAACCATGTGATTTCAGGAAAGGTTTTCAGCTGGCCAGATTCAGTCTAAGATTTCAGAAAAGGTATAACCCAAGTCTTCAAAAAGTTGGACAAGCAAGCATTTTTAATGAAGAACAACACAACTATGGCATGCCTGCCTATAGGCTATAAGAGATTACCTATATGCTGGAGAGAAGTAACAACGAATCAAAGTACGCAACACCGAATGGCCTTTGTATGTTGCCAATGACTGATCATGGAGATGTTTCAGGGCTCTTGCACGAGTTGGGTAATCCATCCATCTGTAGTCCCAGTCAGAAAATCTTAACCTTGGAGTGCTGTTTAAAAAAATAAATATTAGTGGTAAGAAACACAGAAAGCATGGACAAAAAAGACTGGAGCCCTTGACCATTATAGATTTCAGCATAATTCTAAGTTCAAAGATGATATTATTGAATAATTATTATTAAACCAATATTTCATTGATATAACCTATATATCAAATCAACCAAAAGGTAACTATCATGAGTTTGAAGAAAAAATTGCATGAGGCAGAAAAGAGAGTTAAGTGTAAATTTACCATGTGGCATTGGAGGACATCTTTCGAATATCCCAGAGTTTTGTGGTCTGATCTTTTCCATTTGAAATGAAATATCGGCCATCTCCATGGCTATCAATGAATGTAATCCCCTCTAGATGCCCCATCAAGACCCCAGCTGCTTTTCCTTTAGTGACAAAGCAACGCCTGTCCCACACCTGTTTCAGCCAATAAGCAAGGACTTTCTTTATTATACAAGATGATCAGCAAGAGACTACAGCCACTTTGATTTCAACCAACACTAAACTAGCATATATAAGACAATCAAAGAAAATCGGCATCAAGATGCATAAATCTTCAATGGGGTATAACCATAAAATTTACCTTACATAGATGATCATCGCTGCCAGAAAATATGAGATGCCCAGTTTCATCCGCAAAGCACACAGTGTTGACATCAGACTATGAGAGAAATTAGGAATAGGATTTTAGAATCTCTAAACATCTTCAAGTTTGATATTCATCTCATTGAAGCCAAATTTTATACTAAGTACTAAGGCAATCACAGGAAGTTGGAATGCCCCCTGCAGTTAACCAAAATAAACTTCAACAATGTATTGGCATGGCAATTAATTGTCATACCTTATGAGCTGGGATTCGGAGGCTAGGTCTTTTTGCCTCAAGATCATAAACATATATAGACTTATCACTACTTGCAGCTACAAGCTCTCTTCCATCAGTAGAAAATTTCACAGAGAAAATTCCTAATTCATCCTCATCCTCATCATCGTCATCATAATCATCATGAGAAAAATCCAAACCATCATGAATCTCCTGCATAAAAATAGAGCTATAGTATTAATTTAACATAATGAATAATATGATTTCCAGCTAACCCTTTGGAAAAAGTAATAAAACAATGGACTCTGTCATAGCAATTAGCAATATATAGTCCCCCAACCCCATATCTTTTAAATCCTAAAGATGCTCCTAAAATTGAAGCGGATTAAATATGCAAGTCTCTCAGACCATCCAATGTAATAATTGCATAATCCATTTCCGGAAGCAGTATGGCATTTTCTGTTGTTTATAATGTCATGAGCATTTAGTTATGTCTAAGATGGCAAAGCAGAGTTCATTCTTTTCGCACCATTGAACATAATCATTTGCAATAACACTTAAACAAGTCAATATGCCCATAAAGTATAAATTTTGAAGTTAGTAGCACTTGTAAACATACTGTGATGTTTGCAACTGACTCTGTTGCAGCAGATCCAACATTCACAATGTGTACAATAGAGGATAAACTAGAATACACCTGCAATATTAGCAATTACTTTAAACGAAATGAAACCAAAAGAAAGAGGGAAGGGGGGAATATAATCAAAGAATACCAGTAACTAAAAAGTTTAACTAAAAGACAACAATAACACACTTACAAGAAAACGTTGATCTGGTGAAAGAGAGGTATCAGTAATCGTCCATCTCAAGCTTTTTGCAAGGATGTCCTTCTGAATTTTCCATCCCTTGTCCACATTATATATCCTAATGTGGTTTTGCTGCCTCATGGAAAAGAGCAAAATCAGTCAAAGAATAAGATCATAAACACTTAACTTTAGGCAAAGCCATACAATCCGTTAACCAACAAATATTCTAGTGACTATTTTATTTGTAGCCCAAGGGAATGAAACAATACCTGGAATCCAGCAACGAAAAGAGATCCATCAGCTGAAAACTGAGACACATATGCTCGACTTTGCATCCGATCCACCCACCAAGGACCATTGACAGGCAAATACCGGCTTAAAACATGACAACAATCAGCCAATGAGAATCGACCTCTTCCCGTATAATTACCCTCTCGACCAACCAACATTTTCAATGTTGAAACAGGTAGTTTCTTCCCGCCCGGCACACCCCGGGACAAAAGTTCATGGGGTCCTGATCTAAGGTTTGTGAGTTGAGCAATATCATGATCAACATAATCAGAATTCTTACTACAACCTTGTCTTGCAGTAGTTCCACTAAGGGCATCCCCATCATTACAAGCATTAGAATCAGTTTGGATCCCACTCATTATGTACACTAACTACTTAAATTTCATCAAATATATGATTTCCACTTAAAACCCTCAATCTAAAACCCCAGTAACATAATTCTTTTTCATACAATCTATAACTTAGTTCTCCCCTTTGTCAATCCTGCAAATAGAGACATTTTTAACTTAAAGTATTATAACTCAAGCTCTTCAACAACACAAACAATTAAAAAAAAATATTTTTATTACAAACCATAACATTCAAATCATCATTATTTGGAGCCACATGGGGCTAATTAAAATGAAGCTTTAGAGGATTCAAAGTATTTTTACAGTTAAAATTAAAACTAACAAGTCCAAAAAAAAAAAAAATGATTCTTTGGAGAAAGCTCCAATTCAAGCAACATTGCAAAAGTGAAATATAAAAAAAAAAAAAATCACTGTTTGGTTGATAAGAAAAACAAGAGAAAGTAAAAAGCTTCAAATTTTGGAATCATCATCATTTACAACAATAGTAAAACGATTCTAAATCCAAAGACGTAAAAGGCAATAAGCACAAACTTCTTTTGACCAAATTAATAAAAAGAAGAGAATGGAATCAGTCCAATCCAAAAACTCAGTGAAAACTGTAAGATAAAAGAGAATTATTCAAATCAAACAGTCAGCTTTTTGAGTTCCTTAATTTCCTCCATTTTCTCATCAACCAAACAAAAAAAGAAAAATAAAACAGACAAAAATTCGTGTCTCACCTCCTTTTTCAGTTTACCAACTGAAGAGCCAATCTAAAGAGAGTTGATCAATTGAATTGTCCTTTTACACTTGCTTTGTCTGTCTTTTATATATTTTTTTTCTTTTTTGCGTGCAAAAAAAGGCTTTTGTTGAAGCGTAATCGACAGTACGGACGGTTCGGTGGAAGTTGAAAGACAAAGAGACACGTGTTGGATCATGACCTGATCATGTGTCGTGTATTCACGCGGGACTGGTTGCGTTTCGGGCTTTCTAAAAGTGGTAACTTGTAATAACAATAAAAATAAATTCTCGATCAAAAAAAAAAAAGTGATTGAAACGGTGCGTTTAAGTTTTTAAGCCTAGCTCAGATTTTATAGTCCTTTAAAAAGTATGAGTTTAAGGAGATTGCATTTTGCGTTTTCAATTAAGATCATGTTTCATATATACTATTCTAAGTGAAGTTGAAATTTTTTTTATATATCATAATATCAATTTTAAGTTTCTTATAAATTGTGATAATAAATAAATTTTCATTCTATTATTTCATAAAATTAAAATTATAATATTTTATATTTCATTAAAACTTTTTGATCGAGTAACAAATAAAAATTTTCTTATTTGAATTCATTGTATGTGAGGGCTTATGTTATTTTATTATAAATGGTAATTAGATTTTGTTCGTCATTTTTGTATTTAATAAAAACAATTACAATGAAATAAAATTTCATAATCTTTATTTTATTGTTATAATGTTCTAGGAATACTTGTTTGAATATCAACCATATAAATTATTCTAACAATTAGATTGGTGCTGTAATTTTATAGCTTTTCCATTGATTCATGCAATACTGCAAAAATGAATAATATCTGGAGAATAAGGATGCACAAAATTATTAACTGCAATTAAGAAATTGAAAGATTTTTTCTTTTAAGATTACAATGCAGGAGCTAAGAAGAATGTATCTCTTAACTTATCCTAAAATTGAAAAAACAAGACAAAAAAAAAAAAAAACATGGGCTGAAAAGTAATGCTAGAGGCTGCATGATCTCATCCAGAAGTGATTTGCATGACATCCATTGGAGTCCAGAAAAGAACAGTTTGTTCCATCTATTCATGCTGTGTCATGACAAGGAAAATTTGGCCTTGGAATTGAGAGGATGCTTGAAGCGAAAAACCACTTCAAAATTTTCTTCCAATATCTTCTCCTGATATTTGTGGCATTTTAATCTTTGAAGCAATAGGTTTTGTTTGTTTGTTCCTCTTATGAATTGATGCTTGCCTGGATTTCTTCTAGTGTTTTCCCTTTTGTTTCTGGGACAAATTTTGCTACATATAGGATGGTAATTACAGAGAATCCAGAGTAGACAAAAAAGGTTCCTGAAATAACAAAAATCAAACATATTCAGAGTTATGTTCTGAAGATATTTCCAGGTTTTTTTTGGCTAAGTTGAATGGTGTTTGGTTCATTCACCTGAGGAACTCCAGCTCATGAGAAAGTTGAATGTGTAGGAGACTGCCCAAGCACCTAGCCAATTCACCAGGACCACTAAGCTACCGGCCACTCCCTTAACATTTATTGGGAAAATCTGCCACCCCAAAAGAATAGGTTTCAGGTTAAATTTCGGATTATTTCAAATTCAATTTTTTAACTTTGAAAGTCAAAACAGATTGGATTTAACTGTTTCAATAGGGTAATGCTCACCTCAGACATTATCACCCATGGAACTGCTCCCATTCCAATTGAGAAAGATGCTATATAAATCTGATTTCAATGGGAAAAAAAAAATAAAAACATGAAAATTGGAGTAAATAAAGCAAAAACCAAATAAACTATTGAATAAGAAGCCAGCCTTAAATATGTTATTATGGTTTACTCACCAGTACTCCAGCAATAGCTAACATTGGTACCCATTCAAGCAAAAGATTATGGTCCTGATTCATAAATCATGAAACAGGTTCAAAAACTGAAACAAAAAGGACTAGACTCTTAAAGTACTTCACTGACAGACAATTATTATGAGTCCTGACTGACCTTGAGATAGAATGAACAGCCAGCTAGGAAGCAGCCAAGAAATGTGCCACTGGCAGAAACCTGCAAATGGAAAAAGCATATTCTCATCCCAAACTTTCCCATCAGAATTTCAAGATGTAAAAGGAAAAATAGCCAACAGTCGCAGTTGCGTAAACTATTGGTAGAATGCTGAACTATTAATTCTGGTGAATAGAGTTCAAATCATGGCAACTTGAAGTATTAAAAAAAAAAATGAAAAAGTAAAATGTTGGGATGAATAATTACCATTATCAATGGTCTTCTTCCTGACTTGTCCATTAACATTGCTCCCACAACAGTTATAGGGACCTAAGGATTTCATTCAGATGGGTAAGTTAAGAAAAGGGGAAAAGACTATGCATTGAATTTTATTATCAGAATGACAGAAATTGATTACCTGAACACAAGCATATGCTATGGTTCCAGTTTTTCCTGAAGAAAGCCCTGGAAATTGTTTATAGAGTTAAGTTTCAGTATAAAAAATGGCATTGAAATAAGGCACCTAGAATCTATTATTTACCAGCTGATGCAAAGGTTTCACTTGCATAGAAGCTGATTCCATTAATTCCTCCAAACTGTTGGAATACCATTAATGCAACTCCAATCTGAAGATCAAACAAAAAAGTTCTATCAGAAACCACATAAACAAATAAGAACCTTGAATCCATTGTCGAGAAAGGAGTAACTCACAATCACTGAACGAATATATTTTGATTGAAACAGGTCCAATAGTCTAGTTCTTGGAAGGCTTTGAAGAGTTTCTATGTATATCTGTTGAGACACCAAAATAGTCAGCTCAAGTAACTTTACATATTTATCAAGTTCATACAGGTGATATTTTATAGTTGAAGGTAAATACTTGAATTTCTGTAGCTTCTTGAGTGATATCAGCATCTTTACCGCGAAGTTTGCGTAGAGCAACATGAAATTCTTTATTGAGGCCAACCTTTGCCTGCCAACAACAAATTTCAGCATTCATGTCCTGCTTTTTTTCTTCCTTTTTTTTTTTTTTGCTTATAGAATGTACTATCAATTGAAATGCTTACCAGCCATCTCGGAGATTCAGGAATGAAAAAGAGACCAACAAACAGGAAAATGCATGGCACAAGTCCTTCAAATCAAAACAAACAATTAGTCTAGTCTCATATTTAGCTTTTGATTGGAATTAATTTCTTCGACAAAGGGGATTACCAGTCAGAGCCAGTTCCCTCCATGGTATGATTGTTCCTATTACGAATGCAACTGATGAACCAGTAACAATCATGAGCTGCAAGGAAAAGATGGGGGAGATGGTGAGGACATAAACCACACAGTTAACCATAATTCATAAGCCTTATGATTCTACCAGGCTCTCACCTGATTCAGTGTTGTGAGTCCTCCTCGGAGATTCTTTGGTGCTATTTCAGCTACGAAGATTGGAACCTGTTTGTTTAGTTGGAAAATCAGAGACTAAATTTTGAAATATTATTTATCAGGAAATACATAGTTTTCAGAAAAATTACCACATAGGAGAAAACTCCAATGCCATATCCAGTGGAAAACCTTCCAACATCCAGTGACATAGCCCCCTGCAATAGGAGCAATGCAATTGTGGGTACTTTATCCAATTTAACACTTTCTGATTCTTTTGCCAAAATCCTAATTACTCTGAGATAAGCACCAAGTGCAAACCTTAGAGAAATATACAGCAAGCCATCCAGTAATGCAAAAAGCAGCTGATAATCTCATTGCCTGACTCCATCAAGATACCACAAAGTTTAGTACAATTCTGATAACTAATTTACAAAAAATCTTTCTGATTTTCAGTTTAATCCTGAATTTTAACATACCCCTTTTCGACCAATCAAGTCTGCAATCCGGCCACTAGTCACAGCACCAAACATTGCTCCAATGGTTAAGATAGAACCAAACATTGAGAACTGGAATTTCATCAACAAGTCAGTGGCTCCTAAGATGAAATGGAAGCATTAATCAAGAATACGAAGAGAAATAGAAGGCCAACCTCAGCTAGAGACAGATTCAGATCTTCCCTAATAGCAGATTGAGTGGGTGCTGAATACCCCACCTGTCAAAAGAACAACTTAAGCTAAACAAACCTTTTTTTGGTTGGTTTTTTGTTGTGATTTTTCATATTGTAGATTTGATTCCCAACCAAAAAGAAAAAACAAAAACACAAACAAAAAGAAAACATTTTAGTAACCAAGAACTTTGTTTAAACCAGGAGCTACCTCAAACTGATGAAGAAAAACAAAGAAAAAAACCAGAAACATAAACTGAAACTTTGGTTCTGAAAGCTGTAATGACAAACAAAAAAAAAAAGAAGGGATTTTCAGAGAAGTAAAAGTACTTACACAAGATCCAAATTCAAATGAACCACAAACAGCAACAAATGTGCATAGCAAAACCATCCAAATGGATCCATTGCCAACACTAGTCTTATCAGTCTCGTGATCATTTTCATGAACAACACTTTGCTGTTTTGAAATCAATGGCTTCTCTAAATCTTCCAGGGAATTAATTTCCCCGGCTTCCACATCTTTAAACTGCCCAATTGCCATCTCTAGTTTGACAACCCGGGACTCGAGAAACAGAAAAGCGAGAGATATAGGAGAAGGCTAAGGTGTTGGCGAGAACAAGGCCTGAAGATGAGCTTTATATACTCATCAGATTTTTTTTCACTTTTTTTATGGCAAGTAGATATTTTTATTTATCTATTTCTCAATTATTATCCGAAATTTTTATGATTAGATGATAAATTTTATTGTAGGCGTGACATTAAATAAATTTGGCATGTTGTAAATGATTGAGACCGTTGGAGGAAAAGATCAAGGCCGCCATTGGCAGATCGGCTAAGTGCTGGATTCGAATGTGAAAGTGAAGCTGTCACTGACGTGGTGGATGGTACATTTCTGACAGCTTCACTGATTCATGAGATCAGACAAACATTTCATTTGGACGCTTTCATGCAATTTGCTTAAAATATCATAATCCTTATTACATTGAACAATTAAGAAAAAACGAATATGGAAATAAGCATTTTCCTTTTTAACACAAATAATGGTAGATTTGGTATTTCACATATTTATATTGTGTAAATTATTAATAATTTATATATTTATATTATATTTTATATAAAAATTATGTATTATAATTTATATTAATATAAAAATATAAAATATATTTTTAATTTTATTAAATTTATTTATAATTTTTTAAAATTTTAATTCATATTATTTTTATATCTATTATTTTATTATTTTTATATTGTACAATTATGTCATATCTAATATTATCTAATCTATTTAATGGTACGATCTTTTCTTTAAATGATCTTAAAAATACAAAAAAAAAAAAAAAAAGATTAAGCTAAAAATATCATTTATATTTAACTTATTATTTAAAACAACGATGCATACATACATTTTTTTTAAATAATAAAAAATATAAAATGAATTTACATTAAGTAGGATTCAATGATTCTAATTCTTAAAACAATTTGTCATATGGAGGGCAATGAAAATAAAACCATTGGTCATATGAAATCATATGTTACGTTAGGCACATTGAAAACATTTTCGTGTTCAATTAGAATTGTTACATTGGAATTTAATTAAAATATATATAAACTTATTTTGCTTATATGAACACTTAACTAGAAACGTAAGAAATTTTAAAAACATATCTTCAAATTAATACGTAAGATAATTTTTAATTTTATGTTATTTATTAAATAAATAAATAAATTTAATAAATTATAAATTATTTAAAATTTTTAAATTTTAAATATATTTATTTAAAAGATTAGTAGTTATCCAAAGCTTTGGTTTCAACTGACAAAAAGCCAAAAGCCACTTTTATCTGTCAAATATATATTATCTTTTTAAATAAATTTCATAATAATCTAAATATTTATTTTTAAAATTTAAAATTTTCAAATATAATAATATATTATCCTTTACAATGAATTTCATAATAATTTAAATATATATTTATCTTTTAAAATTAAATTTTTAACAATTTTGATAAATATCTTTATAATTTTAAAAATATCAAATGTCTCAAAATGATAAATTATTAAAAGCCTATCAAGTCTCAAGATGATCAACTTGTGTGGATAATTAATTCATATTTAGAGGAGAGAGGTTTATTTAATTCGTCTTATTTTTTTTATATCCATAGAAATTGATTTTTCATTATTGAGATTCATTGCGTAATTAAGAAGCATATCACCTACAATAATTATATTATAATTATCTAATCAGATTTTAGAGTTATGTAAAGTTTTTCAAAATATTACATGAAATCTATAAGCGGTGAATTCTCACATAATTTTCATTATGATTGGATAATTATAACATTATAATAAAAAAAATTTAGAGCAAAAATGCTCCTCGCCTAATTGATAATTTGATAACACATTTAATTAATTATGATACCATTTAAAATTTTTGTTATTAGTAAATATATTGATGAGTCAGAACTAAGTTTAATCTAATAAGTACATATAAAACTAAAATATTAAAAAGTTTTTAAACTTTATTATTTCATTTAGATAAATTCTTATTTTTTTATTATACTCAAATAAACCTTTATTTTTTTATTTGTATTCAACTATATCCTTATTTTAAAAAAAAAGATTGATTTATATTAAAGGTTTATCTAAATATAAATTAAAAGATAAGGATTTATTTGAATACAAATTAAAGTTTAAGGACATATTTTAGTGCAAAGTAAAGGTTGTCTAAATAAATTGATAAAATTCAAGAGCTTTTTTATTATTTTAGTCTTTTTAATTAAAAGTGGCATACAAAAGATTTAAAGTTTAAATCTTAGCATTTATAATTTTTTTTTATTCTTAGATGACTTTTTCCACCAAAAAATGTATTCAAGAGACATGCTATCTACTCTATCAATTTTGTCTAAATTTTTTTTTTTTTTGCTAATATATATATATATAGTTATTTGATAAATTTAAAAGTTTAATCTATCAATTCAAAGGCAAATTAAATTATTAATAAATGAGATATTTCACTTAAATCAATAAATTATATTCGCATAAAGAGAAACAAATTTGATGGAAAAATATAACAAAATTTGTAGTTTTTTTTTATCCATATTAGAAAAAGTAATTAACTATTACTAAATTAATTAACATAGTTTTTTTTTAGTAAACATAATTATTGTAATATAAGGGTCAAAATCTGCTATAGATATAAGTACTATTCGATTTTTAAAAATTTAGTCACTCTAATATTATTTAAAAGAATTTAATCTTTATAATATTATTTTTAAAGGATTTCAATTTAATCGTTAACAATAAACATGAACTAAATTTTTTAAAAAATAATATTATAAGGGTTAAATTTCTTAAAAATAATATTACAATAACTAAATTTATTTAAGTAATACTATAAAAACTAAATTTCTAAAATCGAAGAATACATAGACCTATAACACATTTTAACCTAATATAAGTATGGAAAGTATATCACTTATAAATTTTGTTATTACAAAACTATAATTGTTCAATTAAAATAAAAATTTATGTAAGAGTTTATTATTTATAAATATGAATTTCATATAAAATTTTGATAAATTTTACGAATTTTAAATTATAATTAATTAATTATATTATAAACGTTATAAATGGTATTGCTTACAAGGTTATGATGATGGGGATATTATCATGATTCATGAACATGATGAGAAAATTTTTAGTTGAGTTAATTAAGAATTTAATGGTAATCAGATTAAGTAATTAACCAAATCAAAGAATTCTTATATCCTAAAAAAAAAACAAAAAGGTAAAACTGCTGTTTAAAGAGGATATTTTTTAAAGGCATAATCATTGTATTAGTTACATCCACTAATTATTTATCATTGGCAGCTGTGGTCCCTTGTCCAGTTGCCATTTACTAGGAATTTTCAATTTTGACCAATCTGCTTGAAGATTTTCCTTTATTGAAAAATGGTTGAAAAAATTTTTAAGAGTCTTTTAACATTTTCCATCCAAAAGAATAAACAGATAAACCTCATATTGCCTTTTTAAAATCATTAAAAGAATTATATTCGAATAAATTTAAAAATATTCGTGTTGTTTTATTAAAAATATATATATATTATTAAATATTTTTTAATCATTCAATTTTAACTTTTAATGAAATAGTAACATGATATGTAAGTTGTTACATACAATGTAGCAATACAACATCAACAAAATTTTTTAAAAAAAATTTATAATGACACACTAATAATAATACGTGATATATTAGATGAAGTGATAATTTTTTAATTTAATATCTAAAAAATTAAAAAAATTAATAAATCCCTAGATTTTAATTCCAAAAAATAAATGACCTCAAATAAATATTTTTTAAAAATAAATTAAGAATATAAATAATACATTAATATTTATAAATTATTTAAATAAAATTTAAATTTAATTCGATTATTATAAAAATAAATTCGAATAATTCATCTACTCATAATTATTTTATTGACAGAATTTTCTTTAAATTATTGATAGGCAGCTAAAAAACACCTAATCATCCCACCAGACTCCCATAAAAAAAAATCATTTAAGGTAATAGATCACGTTTTGTTCTTATCAAACAAAGAATCAAGAAATTAGATTAAATTTATCTTTACCAATTGGGTTAGCTGAGTTTGTAAATATCGGATATTTTATATATAAAATTAAAATTTAAAATTGATTTTCATTATTAATAATCTCTTTTAAAAGATAAATTTAATACAAAATTTTATTTATTATATTTTTTAACTTAGCAATCTCTTCATATCTAAATTTTTAATAATAATAATAATAAATTTATCTGTACGAAGTTGCTTTTTGAACAAAAGGATAAAATTTCAACCAACAAAAGAAAAAAAAAAGTAATATAAAAAGCTAAAAATCTAGCTGTCTCTGAGTCAAGCAAATATTTTGGTTTTAATAACAAAAAGTCAATGGCCAGATTTGTACGACAACAAAACTACGGAGATTGCCAGCTAAGGCTTTGTCAATCTGAGTCAGAACCTACGCAAACGCATTTGTCAATCTGAGTCAGAACCTACGCAAACGCATCATTGCTCAATTTCTCCACTTGATCAAGTTGTGGTTGTATTTGCCAATTTGGACCCAACTTTTGCCAAATGCAATTATATTATCCTGGCTTATCTGTTTGACTTAATATTCGTTTTTTTTTTTCTTTTATAATAATAACGTTAAATCCACCAAAGTTAGTTAATTTATGAAATCATTTTTAAAAAAAATATTAAGTAAATTTAAATTTTAATATTTATAATTTTATTATTATTATTAAATTACATCCTTTTATATATAAAAATAATTTAACAATAATTTACTTTTAAAAGATAATACTTTTTAAAATATTATTAATGTATAAAATTTATACAGTGATAATATTTCGAATACAAACTTTACATATATACTAAAAATTTAAAGTTACATTTTGCTGCAGCTTATTTTTTATTTAAATATTTTTTAATTTCTTAACACATTGTTTGGTGTTATTTTAAAAGTCAAAAAAATTTTTTTTTTCATTTTTTCCTTTGTTCTCTCTTACTAAAATAGGACCTTATTTCTTTAGGTAATTTTAAGTTGTCAGGAACTATCGTACCAACCACCGATGCCGAAATATTTTTCACTGCAAAATTTCACCACAAATCCTCGTCAACCTCCTCATCACCATTCCAAGCTCGGATTTTTCAAAATCAATGCTTAAAAGCCTAAATTTACAATCCAAGTCGCGACCTAAAACCTCCAAAACACCTGCCTTCGTTATTTCAAAAAACCTCGTCTCCTAATATGTTTATCCTTTAGCCTTCTTTCCTCCTAATTTTCAAGCCCCGAACCCTCTAAATTTCTATGAAATTGAAATTCTCCATTTTTTTTTCGCTATTTCTTGGTTGTTTATGCTGTTGCTTAATGTATTTTTGTTTTCTTTTTTGCTTGTGTGGCTTCGAAAATTTTGCTTCTTTTGTGTTATTTATGTTTTTGTTGGTTAAGCATAGGTTTGTGGGGTGGTTTGGCTTTGGATTGATTGTTTAGGTGATGTTGCGGTGGTTGATAGTAACGAGGATTAAAAATGTAAATGATACATTAATATTCATAAATTATTTAAATTTGATTCAAATAAAATTTAAATTTAATTTGATTATTATTGAATTAAGTTTAAGTTCAAATAGTTTAACTTATTGAGTTAATCGAGTTCGAATATCTTAATGACTAACTCGAATAATTCATAGACCTAATCAAAATTTTAAATTTAATATATTTTTATTATTTTAATTAAAATATTATTATTTTATTTATATATATATATCAATTCGAGCTTGAATTCAAGTTTAAACATAAAATCAAGCTTGAAATCGAGTATAAAAAAATGAGTTCATTTTTTATTAAATAAATCTATTCAGAGTAAGTTTGAATAATTTGATTTTTATTTTAAATCAAATTCAAATTTAAAAATTAAAATTCAAGCTCAAACAAAATTTCAAGTAACAAATTTTGAGTTAAACTCAAAATTTTTACTGTATTGACTTAATTCGACTCGATTACACATTTCAATAAGAATTGATGGTTTATAATTTTTTTAGTTGATCTAATTTTTTGCAATTCTAATTTGTAGATTTTATTTTATTTTTTGTTTAGATTTTTTTGTAGATCTTTTTTTTTTGATACGCATATTTGATTTTTGTTTTTTTTTTAATCTTTGTATATTTCATTTTTTTATTATTTATAATTCAATTTATTTTTTATTTTAAGCACAGGGTAAAGTATTAATGTTATAATGTTGGAACGACAAAATGGTAACTTAATAATCTTGGACAGGTGTCAAAATTTTATTCCTATAGGGGATTTTTTTGGGTATTTAAGGTTATTAGGATTAAGTGATAGAAAGATTTTTTTGCAAGTATCCTCTTATAATATATATAAAATATTATAGATAAATTTATTAATTTTATTAATGAAAAATATGTTTAATAAAAAATTTTGTGGTGTCAAGAGAAAATTTTCCTTTAAATTTTTTTATTTTCCAATTTTGGCCACTTAGATCCCTCTCTATTAATATTTGAACTCTAATTATTGGAATTAATATATAGTTTATATATGATAAGAAAATGTATTATCTTTTAAAAAACTTTAAAAAAGGTCATGTTTCGAGCCCTTTTTTTAAAGATTTTGTAAGGGTTTTCATAAACGATACCATTTATTGGATTTTGTTTAATTATAAAGTATTATCTGATTGAAAATTAATCTTTAATGATTTTATATTTTTAAAAAATATTATTAAATTTAAAATTTAATTTAATTGATTAATATAATAAAATGATAATTAACAAATATTTTCTTTTATTTTTAAGTTATGATTTTTTTATATTAAAAAAATCTTCTTTTCAAAAAGGTAAATCCTTATTTATAAATCACAATTTAGTCCTTGATTATAAAAGAGTGGGATCTTGTCCTTGAACGTTAGGAGGCTTAAAAATACCTTCAATGGCGCCCATGATGAAGTATTGAATAATAAAAAGGAACAAAAAGATGAGGGAGACAAGTTCCTAAGATCTTATATGGTGGTCTCAAGCTCAACTGTATATGATTTTGTTCCATCAAATATGATTCACGTCCCAAAGATCTTCAACACAAAAGATTCTGTAATTCCTCTCAAGCGAGTGCCCTGTGTTTGATATTTCTTATAGGCCCCCAGGTTCATCCACCGATCAAACCAAACAATGGGTCTTATAGACTTTAATTCCTCCAACAACGTAATTGTTTATTTGGGCTTCATTGAAAATCATGCAGTTTCCTGCAACAAATTTGGTCCAATTTTTAGCAAAATACAAAGAAAACAGTAAGCCCACATTAATTTCCTTTTGATAATGTCTAACACCATTAGTTTCTTAATCTTATAAAATTAAAAAATTTCTTATCAATGTGTAATTCTTATTTGTGTTTCGCTCTCTTAGGGGTAAAATTTTGAGATCATAAGAAGAAAAAAAAGAGTGATTAACAATAAAGATTGAAGGTAGTCTCAATACTTGTACTCTAATGCTTCAATCAACGGTTAATCTAACAAAAAAAAAAAAAAGATAGACAGAAAGTAATAAAAATTAAATGATTAAAGAGTATTTGGATAGTACTATTTATACCAATGATACGAGAGATTTTAGATAGTCTAAATTGCTTAAGGTTAACCTTAAGGGCTAGAGATGACCTGATAAGTTTTAAATTGTTAGTTATGATAAGTTAACATTCAAAAAGTTCAGTACATAATTATTGAGATGATCGAACTAACGTAAACTCATAAATTCAAGTTCATCTGACACATTAACTCGATCAAAATGATCAAATTAACTTTGATTGTCTACTAACTTATAGTAACGAAAAAAAAAATCCATAATACCTTTTGAACCTAAAAATACCCTAACAATTCTAAACATAATATATACATCAAACCTAAAGCTTTCACCTTTCGTGAGTCAGAATACCATTAATCATAATGTATACATTTTGCACTGGTATTGAAGTTAGAAATTAGATCGGTTGAATTTGCAAAATTTTTTTTCTTGTGTGAGTAAGGGTATGGTTGTTTTCTTTTGGGATTTTCTTGATTCTCTTTGGTCGAAACAAGCTTGCAAAGTTGATGAAAAACGAGCAACTGAAACCAATTTTGGACTAGATTGGTAGGGATTTTTTTAGGAAGCAAAAGGTTTCGTAGGCTTTACTTTTAATATGGCTTGGCGGCTGCTTCTATGCTCCCCATGTCCATCGATCCCATCCAATATAAACTTATATCAAACCTAACTATTGCATCACTGTGAATGTGTAAGATTTTGTATCATAATGAGTTAATGTCTCGAATTTAGGTGAAATGTTTAATATGGTTTTTGAATTATGATTTTATTAATTAATGTGATATTTTAAAAATTATTTATTCATTACATGTTATTATTTAAAATTAATTATGTTATAAATAAATATCGTATTAATTAATAAATTTATAATTTATAGAATAAATTAAAAAATTTTAAATTCAAATATTATATTAAATATTTTATTATAATTTAAAAATTATGAAAGTATGACACGATCTTGTCACAAAATGTGGATTTCTCTCTTTGAAATTTGAGTTGCAAAGGAGAAATCAATTGAAGTGAGAAGAAATGGTGGCTTGGGTTGAAGGAATAGATCTCCAAGAATTAGATTTTTTAAATAACAAGAGCAGGTTTGTAGTTACTGTTATTCGCAAGTTTTGGAAACTGATGAAAATATATCCATGAAACTTTATGTGCTTTGCTACTCTCGGTTTAGCATGTGATTTGGTTCTTGAAAAAGCAACCATGTTCCTGCTTGGGATGCAAATCTTATAATTAAGTGCAGTAAAATAATTTTCATAAAAGAAAGTTCATCAATGACGTATCTATTTTAATTTTAATAGAAGAGTAAGTCTGTATGGAAATTAAATATGAACGAACGAATAAATATGTGTTTGTGTTTGTTCGTTTATTTTTTAAAGTATTCATATTTGATTTATATTTATTAAAAAAATTATTTTATTCATTTAAATAATAAATTATTTATATTCATTTAATTAAATTAAACAAACTCATTAATGAACATTAAACGAATATATTCACGAACGTATATAAATAAATACATTCATAAATAATAAATAAATCATAATTAAATAAATTTAAACAAATAGATCATAAACGAACATAAATAAACTCAAATAAATATAAATAAATCTTAAAATAAAATATAAAAATATAATTTTATTAATATTATTATAAATAAATAATAAAAAAATAATAATTGAATAATAAACAAATAAATTTTAAATTAATCATAATCTTATTCGTGAACATTAACAAACGAACAAACAACTATTTATATTTAATTTATTTAAAAAATAAATATATAAATAATATTCAAAATCATTTGTTAAATTTAATAAATAAACAAAAATCTAACGTACTCATAAACGGATTCATCCGATTCGTAGTACCTTCCAGGACAATTTGTTTGACATCTTACTTTTCTCCTAGTAAATGTATTATGCTTTGAAAGTCAAGAGTCACATGCAATCAATTCAAATCCAATTGATAAAATATCCAGTTCGTACTCCACTGGATTCAGATAATCAAATCTTAAAACTCAATTTTAACTCAATCAAATTTTATTTTTTTTATTTGAACTCGGCTAATAATTTAATTGAACAGATCAAACTCAACTCAATATGATAAGTTGCATTCAATAAAATTTTGTAAATATTAACATTAAAATGATATCTTAGTCCTTTACTAATATATACATATATAAATATACTAAATTTAAATATTCTTATAAGCTTCTCGAATCAAATATTAAACTTAAAATTCAACTCAATTCATTACTAACTATAAAGTAGCTTGAGCTCAATTCAACAGTGAACGAATCGAGCTCTAGCTTTTTTCAAGTTAAATTCGAATAACACACAAGTAATTCGAGTAGTTTACATCAAGGAATTGAACAAAATGTACAATACAGGAAAATACAAAAACCTAAAACTGCTTAGCAATTCTAGTTTTTAAGATTTACAATGAATATCAGCTAACTCTTACATTCAACAACCTTCATGTTGCCAATACAAATTCTAGATTCCCCATTTTTGTGAGATGCACTTAGGTTAAGGAATCAAGGCCAAAAGTAAATCTCAGAAATCAAATTCAAAACTTGGGGGGAGCACAATCACATGCTGAAGCTTGGGACAGCCTGATTTCATCAAACCTAACATACATTAAAACATATTTACATCTGAGATCTGTAGCACTCACCTGGTTCAGACCTCAGTCGACATCTAAGACCCTTTCTAACAAACACCTGCGTATTGTTACTGCAAACTCACCAACTGTGTTAGGGTGGAAAAAGACTGCACACATCCCTAAGCAAATAGCAGCTGTAGCAATTACAAATACGGTGGGACGATATCCCAATGTTGTGGTGGCAAAAATGGGACTACATGATTCTCTTCGGAAGTCCTTGCTAAGGTTCACATTCATGATAATTTCTTTGTTTAGAAGCCAAACGGTCTCACTTCTAGCCAAAGTAGTAGATGCCATCAACGTTGGTAATTTTCCACTAGTTCTTTCCTCCGAATCCTGTAAATAAAACATCGTTATGAGTATCAAAATAAGTACAATATGAAAAAGCTATATAAAATGATATCAGAGGTCTTCAAAATCCCTCTCATACTCTCCTCAATACTATCCTTCGTAATGAAACATATTTCTACCTCAGTAGCCAAAAATACAAAACTTTCATGCATTAAGAAACCAGATTGCTCAAAGTTTCATAGAGGCATAACAACACATCTGTTGAACACTAGAGAACTTTTGATCAGTCTTAAGACATTTGCATGGCAAACCCTATGCCAGAAATTTCTCAAGACATGATACCATACAAAACACTCTTGCATCTATTTCATGGCAGAAAAGAAAAAGATGTTAAACTTTGATGGAGAGTGCCTTAGCCAACCATCAAAGGACAAATGGATTTTGGACAAAAGAGCATGTATATCACATAACAAAAAGGAGAGTGCAGTTAGTGCGGGATTTTTCAGCCCAAAAGGGACAAAAATTAATGAGGATTTTCCAAAAGGAAGACAATGCAAACACTTTTCCAGCGACATGGTGTATGCTATGTGGATCATAAAAACCATTGCGCTTTATTTTGAACCAGGAAAACAAAATTGTCTTATTTAACAAAAATTTCACTCCTCACCTGAGAAACATTTGGAACAACTGCTAGCTCATCATTTTTGAAGCTTCTTTGAGAATACCAATTTCTTTCTCGCTCAATGTACTCTGAAAGAAGCACTGGACTTTCACCCTTTTGAAGTTTGTTACTAAGGATATCTCTAGCATAATCCATATATTTCTTTAATAACCTTATACCAGAATCATTAGTTCCAGTAAACCCAGCCTTCTGCACCACAGTCTTCAGATTTTGCAATACTTTCTTCAAAATAACTGTTGATTCGTTTTGTATGAGAAAACTCAATAAACAATTGAATCTTTGAATTTGAGAAGAGGTCATAATTTCTTGAAGATTCTCCAATTTAGGCTCCCTCAATAACCAAGCTATATCTAAAACAAAGTCAGAATAGGCACTTTGTCGTGAAGTTGATGCTTCACATAACTCTAACAATGATCCAGTAGCAGAAATTTTTGATCCTCCCTGAAAAAGAGATGCATCAAACCTCTTCTGTAATGACTTCATCTCAGAACAAACTTCCTTGTCTCCAATTAGGACAGGAATAAAATTTGATAATCCAGACTGATTCTCAACCTACAAAAGAAGTCCATAAATGAACAAATATGCCCCAACAAGATAAATCCAACATATTATGTTAAAACCTCATCCAGATCGATATAAATTTATTGTATCTCAACTGAGGGGAAAAGGAAAATTCTTTCATCTATTTGTTATAATCTTATCGTATGCAAGCAATAGCTGAGATAAACTATTGAATGTGAATAACAAGTCCTCTATCCATTTAACAAAATCGAGCATAGAGTGTAATGGATTTGTCAAATATTTTCTTTGAGATGAGATAACAACAAAATATTAAGACACAACTTTCACAATACCCACCTCGATGAATGCAGGACCAAAGAGATCTGGTTCAGTTTGAGGAACATATATTTTGTATAATCGATGATCACAACTTGGAGAATCCTCTTTACTCTGAACATGTGTGGACGCAACACAATAATCATTTGGCAGATACCTTCCAGCAAAAGATACTAGAAACCTGGAATGATTATCATCTTTCTTAAATATTATATTATAACAGTTCACTATTCTGGCACAACAGAAAAGAAGAATAAAAAATAAAATAAAATTACAGGTCCTGTATGACCTTCATGCAGCATTCCAAGTTTCAACCTGCTTACCCCCCACCCCTCCCAAAAAAAAAAAAAAACAAAAAACAAAAAGAACTTTGGACCATAGATCAGAGAGTATTAAACCCACTATCATTGACGGTAACAGCAATTTGAGGCTAAATAATACCCTGAAATTTTAAAGAAATGTCCCATATAGCCCGATTCCACGCACTGCATTCTCTTAAAACGAATCAGATGTGGGAAGAAGAGAGGCTAGTGAAAGATTATTCATAGTGTTGTCAACTAAATATTTTTTGGGAAAGAAAAGAAAAAGGTAATAAAGGCAATAAAGATCAAAAAGAAAGAGAAAGTTTGGATACAAAATAAAGTTAATATCCATACCGAAATTTGGGCTGCAGCAAATTAGTTCCACAGGCAACAAACTCCATCGGCTTGCCAGCCTCAAAACATGCAGGATGAACATAATGAAGTCTTGGGGCTTGCACCTCCACATCAACTTTCACCATAGAAGTTCCATCTAACATAGAAGAGACCTTAATCACATAGAGGTCTAAATAAATCAAATATAGCCACCTAGAAGACTGAATAATTTAAACCATGAAACGAAGCACTGTATATTAAATATGAAATCAAGAGCCTACTCCATGACAAAAAATCGTAACTCCTCCAACATGCATACATGTTGGTTGAGGCCAGCAGATGACCACACATGAGGAAAAAATTTATTCACTGGAAATTATCTTCCAGAAATTTCAACCATCTACTTCAAGGCTTTTCAACTGGAGACCTTGAAATGAAAATCATGAGTGGTGAATTTTACATTTTATTCTCACCTTTCCTTGTACGGAAAATCATGTTGTTAAGATAAATAGTCATGAAGCCTCTCCCATATAGCATCCTTCCAGGTGTGAAAACAAAGTTATGCATGTGGGTCATTGGATTTTCAGATAACTGTTCGGTAGAAGAAAAAAAATGAGGTTAATTTCCAGTCAAATCAGACCAAAAACATGAAAGAGAACGACAGAATTGCAAGAGTGAGAAGATAATTTTCTGATAGAAAAATCTAATCACAATGTTGGCCAGAATTAATATTGACTATCAACATTAATTAAAGACAAATAAGGGCATAAAAACTCAAGACTATAGCATATTTATGAAATGTCTAAAAAGTGGATTTTCATTAAGGTAATTTTCCTGATGCACACCACAGTATTTAGTAAGCATCAAAATTTACACATTACAACAAATTGCATTCTTTTGTACACTCTTAAGTTATTTGATGAATATACCATACACCAAAAGATCATTGTTACAGTGATAAACACAAGCATGTTACAAATAACAAATCAAGACTTCCAGAAACTATTTAGTTAAAGGGAATATCAGTAAAAGTCTTTTCTGCTTACGTTGTTAGCTGAGAGAAAAAGAAAGAGGAGAATAAGTTATTGGCTTTAAATTTGACTATTGATGCATGTGATGTATGTAGACACGTCTGCATGGCCAAAATAATAGCCAAATATAACCTAAAAGTAGATTAAATGAAAACCATCTGATTGAGCACCTTCATCCACATATTCTTTGGCATTGAAATGAACATGGTCAAGATTGTGCAACCAGGGCGGATGTAGCCTTCCAACTCAACAGGCATATTGGCCAACCATTGAAAAATCTGTAATTCAGTTGGCCTCATCTCAATCAATTCTTCAGGTCTCTAACCACAAAAACCATTCTACTTATTTAAATACTAAACAGTAAGAATAATATGTTAAAATACTTGGTGCCGAAGTCTTCGTGGGAATTCTGCCGGATTCCAATCATAAAGCTTGAATGAGATCCTGCCTGTAGGACACTATAAAGAAACACAAAATCAATATATGTCACATGCAAGCTTCTTCTTATGAACAAAAAAAATGAAGATACTATGCAGCTAACATGAACAAATCAAAGAACCCACCATGGAAGAGTAAGCAGTCTTATTGTCACAGTAAGAAGTAGAAATGGAAACCTTGGAGTCATCTTTCGCTCCATCTGTTTCAGTTTCATTAAGAGTTACAACACTATCATTATTAACACTCTGCAACATGGGAGCTGAGCAATAAGTAGAAACATGCACATCTTCAGACTCAAAAGCTGGTTCTTCTTCAGCTATCTGACCACTGAAGCTTAAATCATCTGTATAACAAAGAATAACACATTATGTGACGAGGAAGGAAAGCTAGCATGCAGTTCCTAGAAAAAGGATTCCATCCACAACTAGCTGCATTAAATCAAATTTAAATAACCTTTTCCTGCTTCACCATCACGTGCAATGTCTTCACTTTGCAAGCCCTCTTTGTTGACTGCAGTCTTAGAACCAACAGGCTTCCTTCGCCGTCTATTGTTGTGACGCTCTAGTTTCCTTCGGCAACTCCTTTTACCTTCATCAAAATCCGATAGCAGGTGAAACCTGACAAGTAAATTGATACACAAAATAAACAGTTCAATACAACTAATAACAATAAACAAAAAAATTCCAGCTTTACATTTAACCATAAATAACAACTTCATTCATGGTCTAAAATTCAAAAATTTCACTTCTAATGGCTTCCATTGATCAAAAACATTAATTGTAAATTCCACTAGATTCAAAAAAGTAGAGAAATTCAATTAGAACTTCAAGGCTCCGTTCGATTGTTACTTCTGTTATTTACTTTCTTCCAAAATTAAATGTAATTCTAAATTTCACTTCTAAACCTAAAGATTCAAATTATGCATTCAATTACATATTAACCAAAAAACCCTAAAAATCAACAATAAAGCATAAATTATAAGCAGAGAGACATAAGCTTAGCCTAAAAAGTGAGAGGCAGAGTTTAAAATTTAGCAAAAAACAATAACATAGAGTAAAATAGAGCTTACTTGCCACACTGTTGGCAGTATCTCTTCGATTCTCCATCGATCAAAACGGTGGTCGAGTTCGCGCATCGGAGACAAACTCTATGCCTCCTATGGTAGCCTTTAAGCTCGCTAATATCCGCTTTGCAACTCGGAACTTGGCACCGACAGGTCCCTGGCCCACATCGACCAGTTCGGGCTCGCTTCTTACCCGGCACCCCCGCCTCTTCCTCTTCAAGCTTCTCGATTTGCGCGTCGATCTCGGGGCATGCGCACGGAACCTGACCAGCTAGAAAATTTGAACAAATCATCCTCGGGTCCCGCTTCCTAACACGACCCGGTCCGGGAACTGGATCCGGATCAGTGCCTGTTGTTTCTAAAGGAGAATGAGATGAATTTTCGTCGTCAAAGGAGATGGAGAAGTGTTCGTCTACGGTGAAGTCCAGGAGATCGTCCCAATCCCAAACGGAGGAACTCGGGTCAGCTTCAGTGACCGGGAAGTGCACGTCCATTTCGGGATCCTTAGACCGATGAGTGCCACGTGGCGTTTGCGTTCGAGGAGATGGATCTTGTTCCATAACACTAAAAACCCTAGAAATCCGAAATCCAGACGATTTGGTTAGTTTGGTGGTTGGATTAGTTGACGGAAAAGGGACGAAATCAACAGGTAGGTCGGGCTAGACTCCGTTTTTTTTATTTTTAATAATTCTTTTTTGTTTTTATTTTTATATTTTATTGGGTTTTTTAATAATTTTATGGAAGGACGAAAATGTAGTGATTGTGGGGACAACGTATATTAGGGAGCCACGCGCTGGGGAAGGACACGCGACGGCTGAAAGTATAGCGTGAGAAGGGAAGCGCGTGGAGTTGGACGGTGGAGGATCGTTGTCGAAAGAGGTGAGGAGGCCATCTGGTATCTTGTCTTACTTCCAATAAAACCGGATATTTTTTAAGAAGATGCTTGTCAGCCGACGAAAGTCATACATTTTGATGGTGCTGCTATGCTCTCAACGCTGCCCTGTTTTTTTTTTCCCTAATAATAAGATTATTATTAAAGGTTATAATATTTAAAAGTTTTGTAAATTATAATTAATAAGATAAATGAATAAAACTTTTAATGAATCATTCATAAATATATTTAATTTTTATTTATTTATTAAATTTTAAATAATATATTTATATTTATATTATTAAACAAATTGTATACGAATTTAATTAATTCATTTATATTTATAAATAAAATCATTTAAAATTAATTCGTTCATTATTTGATTATTATTAGTTTATAATAATAACAATATTATATTTGTATTTTTTATTTTAATTATATTTTAAGATTCATATATATTGATTTAAATTTATTTATATTCATTTAAGATTTGTTAATTTGTTTAAATTTATTTTGTTATAATTTACTTATTATTTATTAATATATTCGTTTAATATTACGAACGAATTTATTTAATTTAATCGAATCGAATATGAATTAAATATAAATATCTTATTATTTAAATAAATTAAATTTAAACGAATAAAATAATTTTTTTATTAAATATAAACTAAACTCAAACATTTTTAAAAATAAAAAAAAATTATGTAAATATATTAATTCGTCTATATTTGATTCTTTTATAACTCTAATTATAATATATGTTAAACTTATAATAAATATATTTAAAATATTTATTAACATTATAATTTTCATGGTCTTAATTACATGCTTGACGATAAGCTTAATGACGTGATGAGATAGGAGACTATAAATTTGTCACTCAAATCATGGTTGTCATTATCATATGTACAAGCATCAAAATGCTAAGTTGGAAAACTGAAAATCGTCACTATTAATGCGAAGATTGCATTTGAAGCAAGTATTATCAACAAAAACTATTAAGCTTTATTTAAGGATGCAACAGTCACCAAACAAAAGAATAAGCGATTGATTTAATTAATTAAAAATTATTTTTTTAATAAAAAAATATTGAATTCAAGTTTTATTAATGATAATTTATTATGATCATTTTAAATATATGATTTATAATCTTCTATCTTAGATTGTCAAATACGATATATCTTATTTTAATTTAAAAAATTAAATAATTTATCTATATCAAATTTTTTCTTTAAAAAAAAAAGAAAGTATAATGCCGATTGAGGAAACTTTGAAGTTTTCATAATAAACTACGATGAATTATCTTATTTATTATGATTGAGTTTGTTTTTAGATTTTATAAATTGAATTAATAATAAGTGAAGTTAGTAAGATAATATATTTTTTAAAAATATATAAAAAAATAAAATATGTATCAATATTTTAATTTGTTTATAAAATTAAAAAATTTTATTATAAGTATTTAAAAACAAACTCAAACTATTTTGTAAAATTTATTGACGTAAAAACTATTTTATTTTAATAATAACCCAAAGGAATAACGATTGAAGCAATGTATTTTCATAGTAAGATGGGCAATTCAATTCGAATACATTGAGTTTTGACTTAACTTAATTTTATGATTTTTTTTTTAAATAAGTTTTGAATCAAGTTTATTTTATGAAAAAAAAAAAATTAAGATTCGATTTTTGATAAATCCATTTCATCTTAACTCTATATATAAAATATTTTTTATTATTTATTTAATTTTATAATTATATTGATAAATATTTTATTAATTTCGAATAAAATCAATTATAATTTTATATATATATATATAAATCAAATTAAATTAAATATAAATATAATATTTTAATATCAAATCATATTCAAATATTTATTTTATAAAATAATATTAAATTTCACTTCAATCCGACCCATTACCATCTAAACTTCAAAAAGTATAAATTCAATCCATTAAAATATACATTTTGAAAACTTCAAAGTTATTTTTTATTTTTTGTCAAGATCGAAAAAATCAAATTCTCGATTGACATTTCGGCTTTAAGAGTTTGGGCCCTTTTTCTTCACTTTCAGACATATGGGCCTCTTTTCAGAGCTTTAACTATTGGGTCGTAATGAAATGAGCTAACCCAAAATCCGACTCAATGACTTTGACTACAGTTAAATTTGTTGCCTTTCCTTTGTTTTTATCCTTCTCACTTTCACTGTCAATACGGTTAAATTTTTTTTTTACCTTTGCTTCGATCTCTTTTATAAGTTATACCCCTCGCCATTTCTCTTCTACTTCTTTCTATTCTCCCTCCAAAACTTTCCAAACACGCCACGGATAAAATCCTCTGTGTTTTTGTTTGGGTTCGTTGCTACTCGCCAGGGACTAGGGTTTTATCTTTTACGGGGATGGGGAGGTATCGGAGCCGGAGCAGAAGCTACAGTCCGCGTCGTCGTAGCAGGACTCCGACACGTGGCACGAAGAGGTACGACGATGACCCTCGAGATCGTCACCGCTCTCACAGAGACCACGGCCGGTCCCCTCTTCCTTCTGGCTTGCTCATTCGCAATCTACCTCTCGACGCTAGGTATTTACATCTCTCTCTCTCTCTCCATTTATATAAACAATGATTTTAACTGTAATTTTGTTTAGGTTTTCCTTTATTCGATTACTAGTCTCTTTTAATACGAGTTGGATGATAGAAAATTTTGATTTTTTTTTCAATTTTAAGACATTTTAACTGAAATTGGTGTCATAGGAAGTTTCACTATCGAGAAATAGAGACCTACAAGTTTAATTTGATTGTGCTTTGCAGGCCAGAAGATCTTAGGGTTCCGTTTGAGCGGTATGGTCCAGTGAAGGACGTTTATCTTCCGAAGAATTATTACACTGGGTATGCTGTTGCTTGGTTTTAGATTCATATTTGTGTGTTTTTTATTTTTGTTTTTCTGTTTTTTTTTTTATGTTTATATTCTTTACTGAAATTGTTTTTCCTTCCGTTTGTTGGCCTTCTGATATTTTGCTTTTAGTAACAATAAAGACGTTTGACTTGATCCTAGGCTTAGCCCAAATGGTTCACCCACCTCTTTAGGAGGTGGGTTCCGGCACGGCTAGTGTTTGATCCCAGCACTTGCAAATTTCCTATCGCAATTCCCTCCTTAAGCCTTGACATCCTCTTTACAAAAAAATATGTTTGACTTCTTAATTTATAGGGAGCCACGGGGCTTTGGTTTTGTGAAGTTTCGATATGGTGAAGATGCAGCTGAAGCAAAACAACGAATGAACCATCAAGTTATTGGTGGACGTGAGATAAGAATTGTTTTTGCTGAGGAGAATAGGAAAACCCCTCAAGAAATGCGTGTCACCACCCGCACAAGGTGCTGCAGCTCGTTTCTCTCTTATGTGGTCTCATGGATATTTTCTTCCTCTTGAGTGTTAGAACAAACTGCTGATGTGATAATCATTTTTTACTCTTTCATTTTCGTTTAAAGTGGTCGAGACAGGGGAAGCAGGAGAACACCGCCTAGATCCCCAAGGCGCCAATATCGCTGTCAGTTTAAAACTTCTGCTTCTGCATTTCACTTAACTTTTTAATAGATCTCATTACTAGAAAATTGTTTTTGAAGATAATTCTTGTTTTAATGTAAGCTCAATTATTGTTATTTGTGGTCACAGCTTATTCTGGCTCGCTTTCACCTGCTAGGCACGATTCAAGGTTTGAATTTTACTTGTTTGAAGCATTTTATGCTTTCTTTTTAATGTGTAATTAGAGATTCTTCTTGTTGTCATTGAGTTATTGGTCAACTCTACTGTTTTAAATTTATAATATAGTGAAGATTATTAACTATGGATTTCATTCATCCTTTCTTTTGATTATAGAGGAACATTTAGAAATTATAACTTGTGAAGCTGCGTGCAATTAGAATATTCAATGATGTGCGTGGCCATATAATTTTACCTGTATTTTAACTCTTTAAGTTGTTTTATTGAAGTTGTCAAGTTGATAGTTAAATCTGCTAACAAAATAATATCTTCCCTCATTTCATGCAAATGTCCGAAAGTTACTACTTTATGTGGGTTTCTTCCAGATGCATGTGACATAGTTATGAAGATGAATAAAACTGGTAGCTATGGATAATTTTTTGTTTCTTACTTTAATTCATGTAATTCTAGCTAAAGGATACTGTTATGTTGCCAGTGGAATTGAAAATTTCATTTATTCTGTCATCTCTTTCCGTTGAATTTGTTAATGGTGATAGTGAAGCTGCGCATCACAATAGGGAGAGCTTATTTTTGGAAGTTGCAAAAGTAAAGTTCTGGTTTAGCCCCTTTTTTTTTTCCTTTCTTTGTGTTTGCTTGAATACCGTATTCAATGATCATTGTCAATTTAGACATAATGCAATGTCCTCCAGTGAAATAAAATAATATCTGCTGTGGTGGTGTTGTTTATTCCAACAGTAAAGTGAAAAGAGAGAGTTTAAGGACTTCTGGATTAATAAAGATTAAACAGATCATAAAGTTGACAACTTGATTTACTAACAAAGCTTCTCCATAAGTATTTTCCTTAGTCCCACGTTCACCGGCTATTGACTACAAGTAGTATGGGGTCTTGTTCTTTGATTTGGGTTTGTGAAGCTTGCTGCCATTGAATGAACTGACCAGCTAAAATGTTTATGAGATGATTAGAATGACTGGAGTGCCTTCTTTTTTTTCTTTTGCATATGAGCAGCTAATTAGATTTTTCATGAGAAAAAATGTTAAGTTTGATATGTTCTTTTCATATACTATCCAGTTAAGAAAGAATTTAGAGCTTATATTTGGTCAAAGAAAGAATCATCCTCAAACAAAGGAAGCCAATCAAAGTTTAAGGAAGCCAATCAAAGTTTTTACTGGTAGAGATTTGTTGGCATTGTCCAAGAAAAAGATAATTTGAGGTTTTAGAAAGTTTGGGGCAAAGAGAGCTATGAAGCTGTCAGATGCCGATCAACCAGTACAACATTATAGAGCGTAACTCTCAGTTTTTGGATTCAAGTGTTATATTTTTGTTCAGAAACACTGGAAAGGTGCAGGTAAAGGTCAATATTTTAACCCGTTGATTTGTGTGAGGATGCTAGTAGGAAATTGTCATCTTCATGCATATCTTCTGTTTTCTATTGGAAGAAGGTTTGCCTTATGAAGAATAGAAATATTCCTTTTATACACTCTATCTAATGTTATATGAACTGAATAGATTTGCATGGTGTATTAGTTTCTTATGCATTCTGTTTTCACTTGAAACTGGAAACAGGGACCGGGGAGTGAGAGATGATTACCGCTCCCGCAGGCAATCTGGATCAATTTCACAGGACCGTGGCATGAGAGATGACTATTGCTCTCCCAGTCGATCTAGATCAATTTCAAGGGATCGTGGGGCAAAAGATGATTATCACTCTCCCAGGCGATCTAAATCTGTTTCACGGTCTCTTTCTCTACGTTCTCCACATGGTGATGGGGAAAACAGAACCAAGCAGAGGTCCTCAAGTCCTAGGGAGAATGGTTGGAGTCCCCATGATGAGAGAGACTATGTGCGTGGCAGGTCAAGGAGTCCAAGGCGTGACAAGCACAGTCCTTCAAGGTCTCGTCCACGATCCTTCAGGTAGGTGTTCCCCAACTTTCTGACATATTCTTTCAAAGCCTAAGAGCAAGTACATACTAGATTGATATTTGCCGTTGGAGTCCTGCACAACACTTGAAGTAAGAATTTGTGTGCTTTCTTCTCTGCAGTCCTCGCTAGAAGCTTTGTCAAATGATGCTGCCTTCTCATGGTGCCGTGCATGTCGTTGCTGCTGGAAACTGTAATATGTGTTAGTCTGGTGCTTTTTTAGGTAAAAGTAATACTATGAGGTATTGTGGGTAGATTAAGGAAAGACGTGTTAAAATTTAGCAGTTTTTAAGAGTTGGTAGATATATTGCTGCATCTTGTTTTTAATTATTTTGAGATACGACTTCTGACTGATGTTGCAATCTGCTTTCATCTTTAGAGGCTTTATCTTTACTCTTTACTACATTTGCATCAAATGGGAGTTATGATTTGTGAAGGAGTTTCTCTTTCCCTTCTTTTGCTGTTTGAGGTGCTAGTTAAACTCTTCATTTTAGTATAAACTCAATCCCTGAAGATCTCAAATAACATAGTTACTATTTACCAAGGTGAGTTGACCCCTTTTTTGGTGTTAACCCGTTAGTAGTTGAAACAATCTACGAAAATTGTAAAGATATTCAAATTTACGTAAGGGATTCAAGATAGTGTATGATAGGTGTCGTGAAATATAGGAAATTGCCAATGGAGCGTTCTTATTTTTTGAATTACCATTCCAAGTAAAATATTTTCAGAGTTCTCTTCTCGCTGTTTAACTTGGAGAAACCGAATATCATGTGGGAATTCCAATTTCTAAAAAACAGTGTCATGCTTTGCGGATTTTCAAGTCATCATTGTCGTCAAAAGTTATATTGCCAGTTTACAACAGAACGAGCTCAATTGTGTTTTTTCAAGAAGTGTTGATACCAGGCTGAAGATCCACTAGACCAAGCCTTCGTGCTCGTTCTGGGTTATGTTTCTTCTGATTGGCTGAAGCCCCTACTTCTCTTAGCATCTGATCAGGGGAAAAACCCCCCCCCCCCCAAAATGAAAGAAGGAATGAAGGGAGAAGATCATGAATCAATCACTCATCATGTATTATGCTTAAAAATGGCAGGGGGAGTCATTTTCAGTTGAAAAAGAAAATTTCCCAAGAACGATCTTTAACCGTACAAAAGAGAGACAAAGCTTATCCCATAGCATGCGGGATTATAAGTGTACGCAACAACAGTTTTTGCTCATTGCAAACTTGCCTAACTTATTTCAAAGTATGGAAACTAGGAATGTCGATTGCCGATCACTCCAAAGGGCATGCTTTCTCAAATGCTTGCTGCTCTTTGCGACATAAATCAAACTCATTTGTATGATAATACATGCATCCGACATAACCTTCCATGGGGTCTTTGCATCTGTGATAAAGATCTTTTAGCCTGCAGAGTCAAACATCCCCACAATTAAGATAAAATGAAAAAGTAAAGTAATGAGGTAATACACATTGTACCCACCAATTTAGGTAATATCCGGAAGAAATTTTGCTACACTGCAAATATAAACATTCAGAGTTCGATGAACTATTATTCTGAACTTATTAGCATCACTATACAAGCTGGTTAGCATTACAGATGATTCCCAGGCAAGAAAAACCAATAATTCAGTCTTAACCCAGAAAAAGAAGCGTAGCATGTTTGACTGATCAGTAAGGAGAAGAATAAAAGATGACGTAATGAAAGCTATTCAAAGATACTAAGCGATTGAAATGAGGTTAAACTACTATCGTATTCGGTTGGGTGCGAAACTGAAGTGATGGTTTAAGAAACAAATGAGTCATCTATCGAGTTCCCACATTTTACTTTCAAGGGATTTAATATCCTATTGCTATAATAAACAGTAGAGCAGACATTACGAAGGTACTATTAAGAGGAACTTTTGAATCACTTAAGTTCTAATTCGATTCAGATCTTCACACTAAAAGAGTAAAGAAATAGTGCCCTAAAGTAATAAGATTGGATGCATATTCACTTGCATTTGAGAACTCTATATCCTGTAATGCTGCCAAGATCTAATTGTTTGTTGCCTTGTCACTTCATAAAGATTCATATATACAATGGAAATGGTAGGTTTGAAGTAACTGGAAAGAGTAAGAGCAACAAGATATTCAATATTTAGGGCATCTTTAAGCTACAAAATGCTCCATCCTATGAAATTGAATTCAAAGCAAGTGAATGTGGCAAACAACTCTGTAAATGGAGAAGGCGAAGGCCATTTGTTGCAATCAGCACAAAGACAAGGCCAAGGTTAATAAAAACTTGGTTGGTTTACATTAAGCAGATCTCAAACTGATTCAAACTAACTGCAAAACCAACCTAATACACCACAAGGAAGAACAAACATCAAATGCACCGTTTAACAGGAATTGATTTCGCCTAATCATATACAGACTACCATATATCAAGATCTAATAATTTGTTTATTCATTTCCAATAAATCATTGACAATTCGTGTATTTATGTTATGTTTTACACAAAAATTACATGTCTAATTCTTGTTGACATGGAAAATACAAAATATATTTTTTAATTTTTGCTAAAAATTTAATCAATATCACGTTCATGTATTTTTTTACATGATTTTCATGTCATATCATCATATCGTATTTTAAATTATCATACCTACATATAAGCGTCTCAACTCCTAGTAGAAAATAAATTTAGATCAATCAACAACTGGTAACCAATGTTGATGCCTTGGACACAAATTCTAGATGCTCAACCAATTGATAACAAATTAGAACCACAGAGTTACCAAAAGAGAGCTCCATTTCCCCTGCCCACACTTTTACAGTCTAAAACCTCCAAAAAAAACCAATTCCAAATTTTCTTACACATTACACTTTTTTCCGGACAAGGCCGAAGCCTAGAAATAAAGGAAAGGGTTATAAGTACTATGATTTGATTTGAATTCCAGACCTGCTCGATGTCAGTTCTCAGTGGCCACACAAACCAACTGATTTAAGCTCCCTTACACACAACATTTTCATTAAAACGTTTAAAACCCAATAATCCTATAAGTGCTATGATTTGATTTGAATTCCAGACCTGCTCGACGTCAGCTGTGGCAGCATGAATCAACTGATTTAAGCTGCCTTACACACCACATTTTCATTAAAACTTTTAAACCCCAATAATCCTAATTATCACATTTTCCTATCAATTAATTCGGCAAAAAAAAAGAAAAAAACAACAAAGAAATTGAGAAATGGTAAAAATGAACATCAAAATGCTTACACGCCAAGGGCACAGCGAGTAGCTTGACGGCCCTTATCAAGACATTTCTCAGGGTTTGGATCTTTCTTCTTACACTTGAGGAACTCCACGTTTTCGGGCATACATTTAATTTCTATGTGCTTGGCTGCTGACATCAGCACCGACGATGTGGGGATCGGTTCTCCCGCCGCATCCACCAGGTTCGCCATTTCCAACCCACCCTTGATAAAAAGATCACTTCTTTCTGCGCCAATCAAAAAAACCTAACTTTATTAAAAAAGTTCCAAAATTTAAAAAATTAAGAGAAAAAGATAGAGAATTTGTTGGGAATTAGTCTTTTACCTTAATCAATTAATGGGTTTTTGCTTGAACTGAGAGTCCACTTTGAGAGAGAAATGGTGAAGTTTATGCGGAGACAGCTTGTAATTCAATTTTCTGTTAAGGGTATTTACGTAATTTCAATATATAGGGTTTTACGTATGTTTTAGCTCCAAAGCCCTCGCTTTCTTCAATTTCTTTGCTTTGCTTTCTCTTCAGCCAATCTCAAAACAGTGATTTTCTGAGAAAATTTAACGGTGAGTTCAAGTTTTTTGTTTGATTTAATTCTAAAGTTACACTTCCTTTATCTCTCTTCTTTGCTTAATTTTTTTTTATAGTTTTTGTGATGGAAAAAGTGTTGAATTTGCTGAAATTTACGGAGATCTTCGATCTGATTATAGTGTGGAAATGTCAAGTATTTGAATTTTGGAACAATAATTCCTTTTTCTTTTCCATTGCATTGTTGCAAAAGAAGTTTTTCTTTTCTGTTCTTTTCTATTCGAGTGATGGTGCTTCATAGAGTACTATATGTTTTAGCTTTATATTCTGAATTATTGCCAGAACCCATTTTTCTTCTGTAATGGATAAGATGTTTGGCATCAATGATCAACTTATATTGTTGGGTTTGGAGGGTTTTCGATGTAACGGGGAAAGGCCTGAATATGCAGCAATGTCCCTTGTATTCTTGGCTGACTCACTTAGGAGATGCTTGTAAACCTTGAGAATTGGTGATTGATTAGCAATTGAGTGGTTATTTTCTATGAGTTTTTCTCTGAGGGGAACTTTTTTCTTTCTAGCTTTGGACACAGGAATAAGTTGATGAGGAAATGCTGCGAAATTTAACTCTTGCTTATCCTGTATTAAAAGTTATTTTTGATTTTTTTTCTTATTTGCAACATCAGAAAATTTCTTCATTTTTGTTTACTTTACCCCAAAATTTCTCCTTGGCAGTTAACACTTCCTTCCCCATTTCTGCAAAGTATCTTATTTTCTTGAAATAAAATGCATTGTTTATAGAACCCATTAGTCATTCGAGTTGAGCTGAGCTCAGCAAAAAAAAGTTGTCCATGCCTGGTTCAAATTGACTGGATTTGTTGGCATGGATGGGCCACCTAGCCCATATTTCTATTCTTTTTTAGCGATGCGGAGATGTGGATGGTGGAGTGCTTTGCTTTATTCGTTAGTCTTATGCTTACTTGATGTTCATGTATATGTATTCGGATATGGCTGTTCACTCACTGTGTAGCCCAAGTTTAAATTCATGTGTGCATCTATACAGATAATTAAGTTATGTAATAAAAGCACTTTTAGTCATTCGTATCCAGAATGGTAGGATCAATGTTGTTTCTTGCTTCTTATTGCTAAACACTTTGTTTTCTTTCCAAAAGACCTGATCATTTTTTATTTCTCATCTATGTTCAGAAATGGGTGACAAGAAGAAAAAGACTTTTATGTTTATCCGGCTTGTCTCAGCTGCTGGGACTGGATTCTTCTATGTGAAGAGGAAAAGTGCTAAGAAAGTGGCTGAGAAACTTGAGTTCCGCAAGTATGATCCTCGGGTAAATCGCCACGTTCTTTTCACAGAACAAAAAATGAAATGAGGAACCTGTTATGTGTCAGCTATTCTGTTTTTATCAATTTTTAAATCAACGTACAAGTGCTTTTTCTTGTAGACAATATCAATTATGTGAGCCTGAATAAAGTACATTTGTATTTAGTTACATTTGTTTCTCCATTAATTACCATATCGTCTCCCTCTCTATGAATCTCTCTCACTTTGAGCATGGTTTTTTAATTGCTATTTGGCCTATTGGTTCAAGCCTCCAGGATGTGGCCCAAAATTTGAATTATTGAGGATCATTATAATGTGTTAAATGTAGCATGATTTATGTAAATCACTGGCATAGAGCTACCATTCACTTTATGAAGTAGTCATTGTATTAAACAAAATATATCTTTCGCACCCTTCTCGCGTAATTGCATGGATCTCATGCTTGATGTTTTCCAGTGATGGCACTCTTCAATCAGACACCATCTTTTCTCATTTCATATGTATGTTTGTAACAGTAGTTGCTACATGTTTCTCTCCGACTAAACTTGATTTCTGTCATATGTGTAAGCTTAGTGGGGTTGGTGTGGGTTTGGAAAATGAAATCCAGTTGTGTGATAATAGATGTTAGTTTCCTTCCACCATTCAAATGGCACTAGGGAAAGTCAAGCTGGCAAGCAAATTGAAATAAAGGGAAGTCTTGGTCTATTATCAGAGTTCCGGTCCTTCGTTTATCTATGACCATGAATGATTATTGCCTTGGACCGGCAATTGTTGAAGACTTCAGCTTGTGTTGTTTATCTATGACTATGATTATTGCCATGGACTGGCAATTGTTGAAGACTTCAGCTTCTATGTCGTCTGGCCTACCAAAAGACGGCTTTGCCATCAAGGGTCCTACTTGATGAAATCTTTGCATCATCTCAACAGATCACTGCCCTTGTGTCACGGTCCCAAGAAGGAAGCTTTGAATCTCACGTCAGCTGTATAAGAAAGTTCGATCATCAACTGTATAACAGAGTTCAAGATCATCAACTGTATAACAGAGTTCAATCAGGTACGTTAATGAGTTAAAACAGACAATATTTTGCAGGTTATCATGAATTTGTTATCTGTAGAATTTTAGAACAGATTGAAAATGACAAAGGGTTCTCTGCCATCTTTGGTATTTTTTTCGATTCAACAAGTGTCATCTTCATTTATTTTTCAAGGTCTTGCAATTAAAATGTTTCGTAAGAAGAAATTATATGTAAATTGGAGTGAGTTAAGGTCAGTAATGCAATCAATCAAAGCCAAGTCCATTGTTGATCAAAGGAAAAAAATATTGTCCATGGTATGATTGTGAATTAGAATTAAGAGATACTTTCACCTACAGAAAGGATAAAAAAAGAAACTGGCACAAGGTTATTCATTGCCTATTAATACAACCAAAAAAAAAAAAAATGGAAATCGAACTACCCAACACGAGGAATTGAACATGTTGAATGAAGATTGAAAAGAAAGGCACAAGGAAAATTCTTATGAAATGACATATGATTTGAACTTCCAATAAACTGAAAACGTGCTTGGAAAAAGATTTTGAACTTGAAATAAGCTCACAAAAATTTATATAAGATAAGAAATGAAAAGATTTTTATGAATCGGATCGAATATGACAATTTTTAAAGACATAAAATTTAATTTAACGATCGTAAAATTTTATTTATACAAAGGAAGGTGATCCATTATTTTTTATTTATTGATTTCACGAATATTAAACTATAATCTTGTGGGAACCCATAAATTATTGTTCTTACTTCTCAATCATACTCGATTGTGGTCAATTTGGGGCCGGTAAGAATTCAATAAACTTTGTAATCAAATGAAAGACTCCATTAAAAAAAAATTAATTTATATTTAAGTTTTAACTTAATTAATTTATATAATTATATTTAAAAAAATTTAATAAATTTAAAATTTAAATATTAACATATGCAATTTTTTTCTTTATTTTAAAATTATAATCTCCTTTAAAAATATATATAATAATAGCACAGGATCAAAGGCCAATTGTGTCAATTACAACATTTTCATATACCAAATTTTTTGGAAAGGAAAATTAAAGCAGACCCTTATCTTTGTGGCTGTAAATTTTTTTTCCCTCTCACCCTATTATTTTTTCAGTTGGGGAAATATAAATGATTGTCTTCATTAGGGTTTTGTTTTGAAAAAAAAAATAAAATTCAGCACATAAATCATGCTTGGCTGCTAATTATGCCACTTGAGCATTTGATTTAAGTAGGGGTGGTAATGGGTAGGTCAGAGTTTTTGCTCACTTCGAATTTGATGTAAAATTTTTTTAATTTTTTATATTTAAATTTGATTTGATTCGATATTGCATAAATCGTATATGATCTAAATCAACTCAAATTTAATAAAATATTATTTTTAAAATATAAAATATTATTTTTTAAAATATAAATATAAAATTATATAATTATATAAATATATATAATTGAATAAATAAGTAAATAAATAATTTTTTTTATATCAGGTTAGGTTTAGTTGGATTTGTCTAAAACTCAAATCCAACTTGATCTCAAAATTTTTTTAATTATTATCTGATTTGATTTGACTCAAAATTTAATTTTCACAAAAAAAAAAAAATCTTATAAAATCAATTCAGGTCAAAACCCACCAAAAACGGGTTGAGTTGTCAACCATAGATTTAAGTGGTTGATATATGATTTTTTTAAAAAAATAAAAATAAAAATTTCTTTTTCTTTATGAAAATAATTTATAAAATTAAAATGTTATTTAGATTGAAATTTTTTTTAATGCAAGTCATACTATTTTTTAGTAACCAAAAAAAAAATACTGTCATGCTACAAGGGATAATTTCTAGCACCAATTTTAGGTTTGGCAATCTGTCCTTGGCTTTGCATCATCATAATTGTTATTATTAGATTATTAATTGTGAGATTATTATAATGAACACGGCTTAATTTTCAAATTTTGGTTAATTCGGTTTAAAACTTAAATTAACTAAAATTTTAATAAAAAAATTATAAAATTTATATATAAAACTAAAAATATATAAAATTATTTATTACATTTGAAGTTATTAAAATTTTTAATTTAATATTTTAGTGTTTGAATATTTTTGTTGAATAATTTTATTTAATTTGTTTCACATATGAAAAAAATAAAAATTTAAAATATAATTTAACTGAATGTATTTTATTATTAGATTAATAAAAAAATTAATTGAATTGATCAAATTAATTTCAGTTAATTAATTTTTGAAATTAAAAAATTTTATTGTATTAATAAAAATTAAATAAAATAAAATAATTAATTCGATTTAAAATAATTTAATTTAAAATTAATAGAACAAATTAAATAAATACCTTTAATCTAAAAGATTTTATAGCCCATGTGATGTATGAGTAAATTTCATTTGAGATTACAAATGATTGAATATAATCACTTAAACATATAAATAAAATGTTTAACTTAAAAAGAATGTTTTCATTTCAATTTTGAAAGAATTAAATTTGAAAAGAAAAAAAAAACCGTCGAAATTCAGCTACTTTTTTAGTCTTTTTTTTCTAATAAAAAAATTATAATATAATAATAAAAATTTGAATATCAAATCGGTCATCGACTAATTCATTTCACAGCAACGGATGAGATGACAGAAGCATCAAAAGCCAACAGTCTCTGGATCAAGGAAAGAATACAATGAAGTTAGAACAAAGTTGCTTGACATTGCACAGTCTATCTTACAATCTATCCATTTATGATTTCCATTAGACGTGGCCCAATGAGAGAACGACCTGCCACTTCAATCCTGGAACATACTCTGTAGCCTTACTGTCCCTGTAATAAAAAAAAAAAAACCTGTTACAAATTGAACCAAAAGATTAAAAAGCTCCCAGTTTTTGCCAGAAAGACACGTCTTTCTTTTAGTTTTTAACGACCACCGTCGGTCAACAACTGTAAGAATGTTTTAAATTTGGATTTTCTCTTTTCTTTGCTTAATTATATCATTATTTTGTATTTAAAAATTAATCTAACCCAAAGTGTTAAGTGTAGTGTCCACTCATTCTTCCACTAGCATGAGCAATAAACACAGTGAAAAGACAGGCCGTAGCCATAACCAAATTGCTTATAAATATTCGTCAATGGTTGTATCATCTTTCACTCTTGCACTCTAAACGGTGGAGACTTATCTGGGTTGTTCTCGTTTTGGGCTCCAGTCAATAGTCATAGTTCTAGAATTAGAGCCTGTTTTTAGTTCATTTCTCTTTGGAGTTTGTATGGTCTTAGCCATGGCTCTTTGTGCATTTTCATTTCCTACTATTATCAACCGGGCAGCAGATTCAGATGCTCGAAAGTCTACTACTCCTTTTACTTCCCATTCGCATGGTGAAACAGATCTGCTTTTCCAATCCTTGCATAAGCTCAATCAGGTTTGTCATGTCAAAATGGAAGTTTGATTAATCTTTTAATGTGGAGAGAAAAACTGGGTTTTGTTCATTTTGTCAAATTCTAAAGTTTTTCTTTGTTTTTATTAGATTCAAAGCTGATAACTTTATTAATTAAATAAAGTTTGATTCTTGTTTACTGGGTTTTGTTTTTTTTCATGAAGGGACAGCCCACCAAAATATTCCCTTTTTCCATTTTCTGTTATCCATTCCTTGATTTCTCTTTTACCGTTTTGATTTGAAATTCAGTTAATTTTTAGATTTCAGTTATAAATATACAAAACTTTGATTGAAGGAAATTGGTGTTTTTGTTTTGATTAGGTAAAGGTGAGGAAAAGGCCAGGTGTGGTTTATGCATCACTATCAGAGGGAGCTGAATATCACTCCCAGAGACCACCAACACCTCTATTGGACACTATAAACTATCCAATTCACATGAAAAATCTTTCTGTCAAGGTAATAAAACAGCCAAAAACATGTTATTGGTTTTGCTATTTTTCAATTATGAGACGTGCATCACTTTTTCATGTGGGAACTTTTTTAAACTGTATACTGAATAATACTTGACACAGGAATTAAAACAACTAGCAGACGAATTGCGGTCTGATGTGATTTTCCACGTTTCAAAAACTGGGGGTCACTTAGGCTCAAGCCTTGGTGTGGTTGAACTCACTGTAGCTCTTCATTATGTCTTCAATGCCCCTAAAGACAAAGTATTATGGGACGTTGGTCATCAGGTTCACTTCTCACTTTTCTTTTTCTGAAAGACTCAATACTGCTCTAAGTAACAGAAAAAAAGAAAAATCTTCTGATGAGATTTGATTTGGTTTAATTCTTCATCTGATTTGCAGTCTTACCCTCACAAAATCTTGACTGGGAGAAGAGATAAGATGCATACTATGCGGCAAACTAATGGATTGGCAGGATTCACGAAACGATCAGAGAGTGAATATGATTGCTTTGGCACTGGTCACAGTTCAACCACAATCTCTGCAGGCTTGGGTATTAATCTAGTACTTTTCCACTCCTTTTGCGCAAGATTTAAAAGCTGAAACGAGATGACTCATATTGAAGCATTATCTAAGCTCAAAATTTTCCCGGTCAAGATACTGCATCTCGAAAGAATGACGTGTACCTAATTCTTTCTGAATTCTTCCCAAGGATATTCCTTTTTGTTGCATGTAAACTTTGTGAGTGAGAAATTTAATATTTTTTCCTTAGTGGAAGGTAAGTGGATATCTATTTTTGTTTTATCTTTTGATTTGTGGGTTGTTGCTTTTAGAAGTGGGTTAGTTATGGATGGCTTATTCATCTGCTAACATGCAATAATAACTTTTGCGTTTTCTCTCCGGTCAATGTTATTGAAATGAATATGGTGAAATTCTATTTTCTATTCCGTTATGTAAAGCCTAGTTTCACACTTGGTCTTCGGAGATTTAATTGTGCTTATGTTTTGGGTGGACAGGAATGGCTGTGGGCAGGGATCTAAAAGGAGAAAGGAATCATGTAGTTGCTGTTATAGGTGATGGTGCCATGACTGCAGGGCAAGCTTACGAAGCCATGAACAATGCTGGATACCTGGATTCTGATATGATTGTTATTCTTAATGACAATAAACAAGTTTCTCTGCCAACTGCCAATCTAGATGGACCTATACCACCTGTGGGAGCTTTGAGCAGTGCTCTCAGTAGGCTGCAATCGAACAGGCCTCTTAGAGAACTGAGAGAGGTTGCAAAGGTAAATACAAAACTATGGACATGGAATAAATAAAATTATTTTACCTGGAAACTAAAGTTAACTGGAACTGAATGTGGTTTTATTGCAGGGAGTTACCAAGCAAATTGGTGGCCCTATGCACGAACTGGCTGCCAAAGTTGATGAGTATGCTCGTGGAATGATCAGTGGTTCTGGATCAACACTTTTTGAAGAACTTGGACTTTATTATATTGGACCCGTTGATGGCCACAACATAGACGATTTAGTTTCTATTCTCAAAGAGGTTAAGAGTACTAAAACAGCAGGTCCAGTCTTGATCCATGTTGTCACTGAGAAAGGCCGAGGTTATCCATATGCAGAGAGAGCTGCTGACAAGTACCATGGTAGCACACACAAAAAGCCTTTTTAGAAGAGATATCATTTCATGTGATTGAATTTACCAATCTTGATTTATGACATTAGTTTAAGGAACAAAAGAGTATAAATTGCACTTGGCTTTCTTTTCTCAGGAGTGGCAAAGTTTGATCCAGCGACTGGAAAGCAATTCAAAGGCAGTTCTGCTACCCAGTCTTACACTACATATTTTGCAGAGGCTTTGATTGCAGAAGCTGAGGCAGATAAAAATATTGTTGCCATCCATGCTGCAATGGGAGGTGGAACAGGATTAAATATCTTCCTTCGCCGTTTCCCACAAAGATGTTTTGATGTTGGGATAGCCGAACAACATGCTGTCACATTTGCCGCAGGGTTGGCCTGTGAGGGCCTCAAACCTTTCTGTGCTATCTACTCATCATTCATGCAAAGGGCTTATGACCAGGCAAGCTAGTAAAGATTCCTTCATTTTAACATCAATTTAAATACCTATCTTTTTCAAATTGTGAAACGTTAATATTCTGTGTACTAAGTTAAACTTCTGCATTCAAATTCATTAAGAATGTGTCTATTTGCTGTAACAGGTAGTACATGATGTTGATCTGCAGAAGCTGCCTGTAAGATTTGCTATGGACAGAGCTGGTCTCGTCGGAGCAGATGGTCCCACACATTGTGGGGCTTTTGATGTCACTTTTATGGCATGCCTCCCCAACATGGTGGTAATGGCTCCTTCTGATGAGGCCGAGCTTTTTCATATGGTTGCCACAGCTGCTGCCATAGATGACCGTCCCAGCTGTTTCCGTTACCCAAGAGGAAATGGCGTCGGAGTTCAGCTGCCACCAGGGAACAAAGGAGTTCCTCTTGAGGTGACTTTCAACCAAGCCTCCACATGTTCCTATTTGTGAAAAAAAAAAGAAGAAAAGGAAACATACTAACAACTTAATTTGAAATTGTTTGTAATATTCCTTCAGATTGGAAAAGGCAGGGTACTGATTGAAGGAGAAAGAGTGGCACTATTAGGCTATGGAACAGCAGTTCAGAGCTGTTTAGCTGCTGCGTCTTTATTGGAATCACATGGCTTAAGGCTGACAGTTGCAGACGCACGATTTTGTAAACCATTGGATCACACCCTCGTCCGCAAGCTGGCAAAATCACATGAAGTTTTGATTACAGTAGAAGAAGGATCAATCGGGGGCTTTGGTTCACATGTGGCACAGTTCCTTGCCCTTGATGGTCTTCTTGATGGCACAGTAAAGGTATGAATCTAAAATCATGTATTTGAACTTCCATCATGGCTGTAGCAATTGAAAGTGGTTTAGCCATGGAATAACCATTTCTTTGCATATTGAAAATTCCATTTGCAGTGGAGGCCACTTGTTCTTCCTGATCAATATATAGACCATGGATCACCGGCTGACCAGTTGGCTCAAGCTGGTCTTACACCATCACACATTGCTGCAACAGTATTCAATGTGCTTGGACAAAAAAGAGAGGCTCTTGAGATTATGTCCTCAAGAAACTAAAGAACCCTTCAGCTTGATTTCTCATAATGTACAAAATTTTGTTTTTTTGTTTTTTTTGTCATGTTGCATTAATATAATCATTTCGGAGGAATGTGCCTTTAAGATCGTCCAGATGGAATAAGCAAAAATCTGTGGACATCCCAAATCATTTTCTTCAACAAAGCATTAAGCAAAAGGGCAGTGCAAAGAAGTGACCTCACCATCATTTCGTTAGATTTGATAATTTCCGTATCCGTGTCATGTAAAATATTAATAATTTATATATTTATATTATATTTTATAAAAAATTATGTGTCATAATTTATATAAATATAAAAATATAAAATATATGCTTTTGATTTTATTAAATTTATTTATAATTTATGTTAAAATTTTAAATCATATCATTTTTATATCTTTTATTTATATCGTTTTCATGTTATGTTTGAAATAACTAAATCTATATCTCGTGTCACAAAACCAAAGGTGAAATGAAAAGCCAAAAAAAATCTTAAAAAAAAAAAAATTGACCCATAACTCTACTTTCAATGCCAACTTCAATAGGTTAGGTTCGTTAGTGGGAGATGTTTGATTGCTTGTCGCTTTTTGGAATTGCTTTCCTAAAGAAGAAAGAAAGCATTAGAAAAAGGAAGAAAAGTTAGTTCCTGAAACAGGAAAATGATATTTGGGGAAATGAAAATTGAACGACTTTGAATCAATACATATAATAATAATACATTCGCTATCACAATCATATATATATAGAATAGTAATGGGGTTATTTAAAATTCAGTGAATGTGGTCGTACTACAACTTTAATCCTATCAACTTACCTAACTAGAAAAATTTTGATATTATATTATCAATTTGAATCCATCTATTGTCTTTAGGTTGGATTACTTGTTAGGTCTGCAAGTTGAATCTAACTTCTACTGGTCCTTGAATAGGAATTTTAAAACTAAAACTGGATTTGGATTATTATTTTAATAATAAATACTTTTTTATTTAAATTTAATTATAAAATACATTTAGAAATATTAAAATATTAAAATAAAAATAATATTTTTATATTTATATTAATAAAATAAATTTATTTAAGCTTAAATGAACGGATGAAGCGTTGGATCGAGTTGAATTTGACTATAAACACCTCTATTTATATCTATTTATACATTTAGTATTCGATTTATAGTTGAAATTTTTATTTAATAGCTAAAATTTAAAAATTAATAATTAGATAATCAAACTTTACTTTGGTCCATCAATTTGCACAAAAACTCAGCACCGTTTGCCAAATAAGCGACATGTTTAAAATATCTAATGAAATTACAACATATGGCATATTTTTATCGATTGTTTTTTAATATTTTATCCATTTAACTGATGATGTTAGTCTCGTGTGCAAAAATATTTGAATAGAAATAAAATTTGAAAATTTAATTGCAAAATTTAAAATTTTAGGTATGAAATTCGGAATTAACTATAATCGAGTACTCAATACTATGCAATAAGCCAAACCAAAGTATTGATGTTGTCAATTGGTATCCCTAGCTTATCCTTATCTTTGTTCCTAATATCATTTTCTTAAATTACACTCATAATTAAATATTAAATTATATAATTATTTAAATAATCAACTAACAATCATTTAATAATTAATTAATAAATAATAATATAATTAAATAACTAAATTCATATAAAACCTCAAATTTCAAAGTCATGGATAAGTCAAAGCCTATCTAAGGATAAATTGATGTACAATAGATGTTCTTTGTAATCATTGTTTACATGATTGAACATGCATTTGGATTCTCATCACTAAACATCATCAATGCTTCATTTTCTATGAAACAACAATCTAATGGTAATGAATTTACATATGTTTCGGAAATCTCATTAGTTGTGTCTTTTGGAGTCTCTTCTTGTTTTTCTTTAATCAAAATCTCTACTTTCTTACCTGTTTTCTTCCTTAATTTTTTCGATACTTTTTGCGGATCAAAATTTCCTATGATTATAACTTTGTGTTTATTCATGTCCGTCATAAATTTCTCCACACCTATATGAAATAATGAGAAAAATAGCAGTGATCAGTGATCAAGTTTAAATCTTAATAAATTTAAATATAAAAAAATATTCTAAAAAAATGTTAGAAAAAAAGAGAGAAATAGAAATTAAAGGGTACCTTTCAATTTGGAGATGGCTTTGGCGACGGTTCTTTCACATGCATTACAATGCATGGAAACTTTATATTCTGCAACGATTGCCTTTTACCAACGAATAAGAAACAAGAATTTGATCAATCCCACACCAAGAAATTCAAAGAAAGGCAATATCGGAATGAGAAAAGGGATGTTAATATTAATCTTACTTTTTCATCATCTTTTTCCTTCTCATTTTCCATTGAAACTGTAAAAAAAAATTGTAAAAAAAAAAATGCATGAAAAGAAATGTGAAGACGAAGGGGAAGTGTCTTTTTATGACAGTAAAATTTTATAGGGCTTGCGGTTATATGTTCAATGGAAATTACCAATAGTTAATTTTGGGAAGATTAAACAGAAAATTGCGTTTCCCGCGGATTAACCAATAATCAAGTTGGACCAAAATTCTCATTCCCTTATTACCCTTCGCCAAGTAACCGCCCTATAGATTTCTTTTTTTTTTTTTTTTCCAAAAAAAAAGCTAAATGCTTGAATCTAATATTTGTCAAATTCTTAATAAGGATTTAACTTTTTATTTCATTCATGTATAAGTCAAAGCAAAATTAGCCAAAAACAAATGTTGTTGACTAAAAAACTTGTTGAATGATAGATATATGCCTTAAATGGAAAGAAAAATCCAAAAAATAAAAAAGAAAAAGAATATATACTATTTAAAAATAATACAATTCAAGCATTTAATTGGTTCAATAATTTTTTATTTGAGGAATTAATTTACTTTGAATTCTTTATTTTTCAAATAAAAAATATAAAAAAAATAAAATAATTGATCAAATATTTAACTGGAATATTATGATTTGGTTTTAATTAAACTGTCTATAAAATAATTAATAGCTTGCAAAATGACTCAAAATTAAACTTTTTTGAGTCAGTTTATTACAATTGCATCAAAATACAATACATGATAATTTGCTTTAAAAATAAAAAGAAAAGTACATCTATTCTTCAATTTATTCACTTGTTGCATTTGTTTTATGGATTGACAACACGGCAATTTTCCCTGATTTCTCTAGCATTTCTGGTTAGAACTTCAATGGCTGCCATTTTCCTCATTGATCTTGCAAAGCAGGAAAAAAAACAAGGAACGTGATCTTTGTAAGTGAGAGACAATCCTTTTTGAATTGTTGTCTGTAAGAAGTGAAGCATCAGACACGAAATGTCCCTTGTTTTGGAGTAAGATATCATAGTAATGTTTGTCGAATGACAGTGAACTTCCAGGATCCATTTCCACAGTTATTGTTGGACTTGCTGGGTTGGGACACTGTTTCCTCAAGGTGTCAGCGTATGTTGGGTCCAAGCTAGGATCAGCATCACCTTTTCCCGCGAAGTTGTAAAGCCTTCTTGAGAAAGTTCCAAAATGAGCAACTCCAATGCTATGTGCACCTGGTTAATCCAGGACATTAATGCATATTTATTAATCGGGATTTCAGATTTTAATATGAATGTCACATACATGCATTAATTAACGTAAGCTTGTCAATTGGTAATATATATATATATATATATATATAGATATAGAAATGCTTGTGCATGTATATATATAAAGTAAGGATTAAAGGAAACTTATTATACCTGAAAGAACAACAAGATCATTAACATTGTTGTAACGGTTTTGGGACCGTTAGACGTAAAAAATTTTAAAATCAAGGAAAATAGGAGCAATCGCCACCAATCTCTTTTAGGGTGTGATTGATCACCCAAAAATTTATCTTTTTAATAAAATTATAAAAACAAGTTTAAAGTTTATAAAAAAAATAAATTTCGGTCTACGAAAATCATGTTAGGTCCAAGAATTAGTTACGTGTGGGAAAGGATTAGCACCCCTACAGTACTCATAAATTGATATCATTTAATTATGCACTATTTTCGGTATTAGATGAAATGGTTTTGATTTTAAATTTAATAATAATCCCCTTTATTTAAAAATAAACTTTTGTTAAAATTCTTTATTTAGGAATATTGAGAAAATTTTTAAGTTAAAGAATTATCTTAAAATTTTTTAACATCTAGGCAGAATTTAAAATAATTCTTTTTGTTTAAGATTTGACAAAATACTCCTTAAAATAAAAATAACATTCTTTGTAGAAGATAATTGTTAGTGACTCTCCAACATCTAAGCAGAGTATCAAGAATTATTTCTTTCGGAATGTTATTTTTATTTTATTTTATTATATCACAATTTTAAAAGTAAGTGAATAAAAAACATTTTGTGTGAAAAAATAAATGATAGTATTATTAGATAGCAAGTAAAAATTAAAGACAAAAATGCAAAATGAGTGCCAACAATTATATAATGATGTAAGTATGCTAATGTATATTATGCAAGATGATGAAATGTAATTTAAAAAATGGATTCTTAAATATAATGAGATCACATTGACTCTCTAACATCTAGGCAGAACTTAGGTGCGATCATTTATATTTAAAATCCTATATTATTAGTACTTTTTTTATTTATTGATTTTAATCCATGGTTAAAGCGAATTAAAGACTAGCATGAAAACTTAATGAAATAAAGTTTCTTAAATACCCATCGTCTAGGCAGCATTCGAGAATAAATTATTTCAAAAATTTCATACATGTCCTTAGAATTTTGGGATGGTCTTGGTTAGAGCTTAGGTCGAGGTTTTAAAGGTTAGGGTTTCAGATTTTAGAGTTTTGGATTTTGGGGTTTTGGTTTGAGTTTCAAAGGTTTTAGAATTTGGTTTTAGGGTTTACAGAGTTTTAGGGCTTAAATTTTAGGGTTTTGGATTTGAGAGTTTGAATTTTAGGGTTTTAAGGTTTGAGAGTTTGGATTTTAAGGTTTTGAGGTTTAAGGCTTTGAAAATTTTGAGTTTTGATTTTAGGGTTTCGATTTTGGGTTTGAAGGGTTTAAGGTTTAGGATTTTTTATTTTAGGGTTTGGAATTTTAGAGTTTTAATTTAAGGCTTAAGGATTTAGGGTTTGATGTTTGGGGTTTTAGTTTTAGGGTTTGGAGGGTTTAGGGCCTAGTTTTAGGGTTTTGTTTTTAGGGTTTAAGGTTTGAGATTTTGATTTTAGGATTTGAAGGGTTTGAGGTTTTGATCTTAGAGTTTGAGATTTTAGGGTTTAGGGCTTTGATTTTAGGGTTTAAGGTTTCGGTTTTAAGGTTTAATTTTTTTTTAATTTTAAAAATGCGAATATCTCTAAAAATCTCTAACATTTAAACGGACTTTCGGAGCAAGTTTGATTTTTATGATTTTTGAAAATTAATTAAAAATTTTCACATATTTCTTTTTTATGAAAATTTATTATTATTATTATTATTATTATATATTTTTTAATTTTAATTAATTTTTTATTTGTAATTCTTCAACATCTAGACGAAATTATATTTTAAGGTTTGATGTTTTTATTCCTTCCAACATCTAAACAGGGAATATAAAAAAAATATATTTTATTCTTATTATCATTATTTTACTATTATGGTTTTTTATTGTTTTCATTGTATTATTATTAAAATAATCAAATATTTATTCTAACAAATTTAAAAAAATTATCATGCATGACAATTAAAAATTAAAACTAAAAATAATAAAAATAATATATAAAAAAATTAGAAAAAAGTAAAAAAGTCTTGAACCAAATCGGTTAATGCTGGTTCGTTCGGTTCTATGGTTCAGCGGTCCAGTCAATGGTTTGATGGTTTGGTCAATGGTTCGGGCAATCGGTCAACGATTCGATTCGGTCTAATTCAGTTCAACTGAACCGATCAGAGGCTGTTGAAGGAATAGGTAAACGAGTCGATTTAAGTGGACCCCAAGTCGTGTCTCGAGTTAATGCAGTGATCCTAGGTCCTAAAATGACGTCGTTTTGGGCTTTGACTTTTTATATAAAACAAAATTTATTTTCAGTTCATTCCAAACTACTTTCCAAAATAATAAAAAAAAATCAGAGCTCTAGGGAGAGCTCCAAGGCCTTCATCGACATTCGGTCACCTGCGCTGCCATTCCGACCGTCGTGTTGACCGCCGTTGGTGGTTGAAAAACATTAAAAAATTTTTCAAAAGCTCTCTTCAAAGTGATCTTCCCAGATTTGGTCTCTTTTTCGTCGAAAATATTCCAATCGACGTAGATCGAGGCTTAAAGTTTTTGTTTTCTTTTTTTTTTGAAGAGAAACTGACTTTTTATTTTTTTGTTTATTTTGTAGGGCTTGTTCGACGCTAATGGTTCCTCTATACGGGGAGGACTGTTGTTGTGTTTTTCTTTTATTGGTGGATTTTTGTTGTTTTATTTTTTTGGTTGTCTGTTTAGAAGGGGAATATGTATTGGGTGAGGTTAAGGGTGCCTGGTGAAGGGTTTTGTGCGGTGGTTGAAGGTTGGAATTTAGAGGTTTGAGGCATGCGACAGGTTGGGTCATTTGGGAGTGCGAAAGGTAGGTGTTTGTGTATCTGAGCTTGGAGGTTTCTGAGGTGTTTGAAGATCTATCCTAAAGAAGAGCTGAAATGGGAGGAAGCTGAGGCTTTAAGTAGATGGGTGTCTGAGTCTGTGGTGGTCGTAGGGTGGCTACAGTGTTTTGGTAAGGTGACTGGATAGGAGGTGGTTGGTGCCAGGCATCAGCCCCCTGCTTTCTGCTACTTTTTTCTTTTTTTTTTGTATTTTTTTTCAATTTTAAACTAATATTAATATTTTATTATCAATATTTTTTCTATTATTATTAATAGTTTAATATTGATAAACAAAAACCAAAAATGTGATTTAAAGCATCAATAAACCTAGATAAAATTCGATGTCTATAGCTGACTCTCTTTATACATTATTAAGAATCAAGAATAGGGCAAAGATAAAGACAACAATTTTATCCGAAAATAAATCGAAGAGTTTTTTTTTGTTTTTTGTTTTCATTTTTTGTGATTGAACCTCAAGTCAAGTGACAAAGACAATGATTGGGACGATGTCGTAAGTTAAGAAATAAAGAATCAACTGGGACAACACTACAAGTCGAGGAATAAGAAATTGATCAGGATAACACCGCAAGTCAAAATTACCCTCAGAGATTTTAGAAATCATACCCGAAGATCTTAGAGATTGTGCCCAGAAGTCTTAGAGATTATGCTCGAGGTCTTATAGAATCGATCAGGATAACATTACAAGTAAAAAAATAAAACATCGATAGGGATAGCACCGCGAATCAAAATTATGCCCGGAGGTCTTAAAGATTATACTCG